CCGCAATTAGTTGCCAGCGCAACGTGGTTAACCTCTTGTGCCACGCACGTCGAGAATCTCTTTTTAGTATATTTTAAATATAACCCAAAGGCAAAATAAGTAATAAGTTTATTACTTCTTAATCATTTCTGTCCAGTGATACGATACTGTCGAGTTTAAAAGAAAAAGGAAGCGACAAGCTGTTGTATACGGTTCGGTCACTCGTTACGGTCCGCGCAACAAGTTATTAGCCAGCGCAAGAGGTTATGTACGTGTATTAAATATATAACATATTTCCAAAAGAAAACATTTCTTTGACCTTGAAATTCAAAGCAGGTCCTTTATTTCCATCAAATCGAAGGTGTAGAAATTCATCAGTTAGGTAGCCACGGACTAAACTTCTCTTTTTCCACTCTGTACAGAAACAGTTCTTGACGCGAGACACTGGCGTGTGTCTTCTTCACGGCTCGAATTACTGCATTGTACCCAGTTGTTGCCAGCGCGAGGAGTTAACTTCGGAAAGATGCTTCGTTTCATTTGCGAGTTTCGTGTTTCATCGCCGCGTGAAAGGAGGGAAAAAAAAAATTGACACTGGCGTATTGGAAATCGGCATCGTCGTTCGCCGGAAGGAACCGAAGCGCGTAAAAGGGTTAGGCGCCAGCTGCGGCCAAACCCTTTTCGTACCTCTCCGTTAATTGGTTCACTTGTAATTGAGCGTACGACGGATAGAACGGTGCAACGTAAGAAGAGAGGGCAGCCTTAGAAGCGTAGATGAGAACTAATTAGCTATCGGCCGGCTCTCTCGACTGACCGATTGACGCCATTGCCTCTTCCTCCCTTCCGTCACCCCCCTCGCCCCCGGTGTGTCTTTCCCCTCATTGGGCAAGAAAAACGACTGAGAAACAGGCGAGCCGGCTTCGTTTATCTCGATCGCTTGTCGTTTAAACAGAAATCGACAAATGGATTTCGAGTTGCGAGTCATCGTAGGATTCGACGAGGGAGATATATGGGTTGCATCGTCTCTCCTCGTTCGCTCCTATTACTCACTAATGCTCGGAAAGTAATTACTCGCTAATGTTCGCATTAGTTACTCAGTAAATGCTTGAACAATTACGGTTTCAGTGACTCGTGGCTTGAAATTGTGAGGGTGTTGCAACTTTCGACCAAACACAGTGGATCTTCGTTATCTTTTGTGAAACTAACTATTTCAAGCAAATACAAATAAATTGACAGATATATTTTGCTCGTACGTAAATCGTATTCAAATCTATAGATATACTATAGATTCGGTTGCGAAAAAAAATTTTCCGATTAACGATCTGTGTAGAAAGCATTTCCGAGAAAGTAAGTGTCTTCACTTTCTCATTCGCTGCGCGGTGTAAAAACGGGTTTGAACTTGGAATTAAATGAATAATGTATTTCGAAAGCGGTGACTTCAGCGGCTTTAAAAGCAAACCCATTCTTATTTATGTGTACGAACGTTTTTGTGTTTCATATTTAAATCAGTTTAAATATTAAAACAGTCATATTTAAAACAGCTTAAATATTTAACGAATATTTATATTATTTTATTTAATATGCTAAGTTTTTTTTTTTGAAATTATTAAACATATCAAAACTTTGAAATTATTTAATATTATTAAATATATACGAACTATATCAAACGAGTATATTAAAGATTATTTCGAATGTTGACGTTGAGAATCTAACGCACAAATAACTCGTCGAAGGTTATTTCCCAAAGGAAAGAAGAGACGGACTCGTCCTTTCTGCCGCGAGATCGTTTCGAAATCCGAGATTCTTTCCACGCCAGTCGATGACTCGCCGAGGGGAAACGCGTTTTCCTTGTTAACGGCTGCACGCAATTCTCTTACTCTTGGGCAGCGTGCGTCACCGTGCACTTGTAAACTACAGACTATAGGCTATAGACTATAGACGTTGACTCAGAGTCGTACAAACTCTGCCGGAATTAACCCCCAGTCCCGGTGTTTGATTCCGTTTCCAATAAGGAGGCCGGAGAGAGACGTTACATCATGTTGTAAGGGTACAATTAAAAATTTACAATTACAATTTCACACAGAGATTTTATTCGAATGAGACAAGACTTTTAAATCTATCTTATAGTAAATTATCGATGCAGAAAATACCGGTCAAAAACTGACTGTGTTCTTCTTCTTGCCCCGCTTGTACAGGGTGATTCACAAACCTTGCACTGAAATAACTCTTAAATTGTGCGTCTGATGAAAAATTGTTTCGACACAAAAGTTCATTGTTATCTACACACCAACTAATCCCCATTGGATGAGAGATCAATGTCCCAATGGAACATTAATGTGCAAGTATAAATGGTCTTGTGCTCTGTGCATAAGACTCGACTTCGTCGACTTGAGACAAATTAAAATATCTCCTTTACCATTAGGTTTAGGGTCAGTGTGGCTTGATACTTTTTTACTTGTAATTTAATATTCTTTTGATTTATGTTGGTCCAATTAAGAAAAAAATAAATAAATAAAGACGACCTTGGAAATTTCGAAATCTCTCAACACAAAATTGATACTGCCATATTTTGCCTCTCGCAGAATCACACAACTTTTCATTAGAATACTCATAATTCAAAAGTTATTTCAAGTATCCCCGATTTGTACCGATTTGCCCTTGGCCAAACTATTTTATGACGACGTGTAAGAAACTCGCAGTTCGATCGGTCTTCGTCTTCGTCAGTGCTTCCTGACTTTTTTTTTTTCTCTCTTCCACCATGCTCCTCCGAAGATTCCTTCGCGCTCGAGATATATCGTCGCGAGATTCTTAGCAGATTAATGTGTGATTTATCGCGTCTCGCGGACGAGAGGCGATCGTGCGAGATCCGAAGAAGAAGATGATGGCGCGAGCGGTGGATGACGTCAGTGGCATGACGGGATCAATCGGAGAGTCAAGTCGCGATAATTGCGACAATCGTCGGGATGCTTGCTTGCTCCCCAACGAGACGCTTAATCCCGCTCCCTCGTTCGTCGCAACTCTCTTTCGCCGTTCAATTTACGAGGCCGGCCCCATCGCGCTATTTACTTATAGCCACGAAGATTGCCGATCGTTAATTGCCCCGTGGAAACGTGCCACGCACGCCTACGGTTTTCCCTCGGCGATCGAGGAGAGACGAGAGGATCGATCGATCCATCGACAGCGCCGCGATGCAGACTGGACCTGGGCGAAATTCACTTTGACTGAATAATAATAATAAATTCACACGCACTGAATAATAATAATTTGTAAGTAAATTAAAAATTTAATTAATTAATTAATTAATTTTTCTTAAGTAATTAAATTTTCGAAACAGTATTGAGTAAATAATTTGTAAGTAAATTAAAAAATCAAATAATTCAAATAATCAATAAATTAATTCTGAATCAATAATTTGTAAGTAAATTAAAAATGTAATTAATTAATTAATTAATTTTTCTTAAGTAATTAAATTTTTGAAACAGTATTGAATAAATAATTTGTAAGTAAATTAAAAATCAAATAATTCAAATAATCAATAAATTAATTCTGAATCAATAATTTGTAAGTAAATTAAAAATTTAATTAATTAATTAATTTTTCTTAAGTAATTAAATTTTTGAAACAGTGTTCTTTAGTGTAATTCGTTTAGTCAGTTAAAGGAACTTGAAGCTGGGCAAACAATTGGGGAAATAATCAATTGAAGAATTGATTTTATTTTGTCTTTGAAGTAATTCTTGAAATAAATAAATCAATGAAACTGGAATACTGAACTGGAGAAAAAAGTCAATGAAAATCAAATATATCATTTATTAGTGTTATCACGACAGAAATTTGTCTTGTTAGCTTTTAATATGTCTCGTTCCTCGAACATTTGGTCCGTTAATGAACGAAATTTGATGACGAGGATAGAAATGGACTATTATTATTATACTTTACAAATATTTGTTCTGTTAATATACCTAAATTTCTTCTATCGTCATCGAAAGATCAAGTGATATCCACTTCAATTTGTGTCTGTAGTAACTATGCAATAGTCGCAGACTAAAAAATAATAGATACAAACATTATACCTTGAGAAACCAGTTATTTCTATCAAAATCAAATAATACATAAGATCCTGGCAAACGGTAAATAATTTATTTCGTCAAGTAATAAATAAATCATTCGATTCAAAATAAATTAATTTGATTTTTATATGAAATATTTAATGATATAATTTTTGTTATTTTGCAAATAGATTGTTTCTGAAATGATTTTAAAAATAATGTTATTTGAAGATTTCTCAAAACATTTAAATCCGATTACTTCGACGAAAATTCGGGACCAAGATGGTTGACAAAGATATAGGGGACCAAGATGGCTGACCAAAATATAGGGGACCAAGATGGCTGACCAAAATATAGGGGACCAACATGGCTGACTAAGATATAGGGGGCCAAGATGGCGGACCAAGATGGCGGACAGCGCGAAATTTGAACGGGGGCGTAGCAACGAAAAGAGAATGAACAATATACCGGACAGCTCACTATATTAACTGATCGATCGTAAAAAAGTTTGGATCGCTATACTGTCGTGGGAGCGTCCGGTTTTTTCTCTACTCACATGACGACCGAGTGAGCGAGCGAGCCAAGCTCGCAAGAGAAGCGGCGCGCGACGCCGCGTCGCGATCATCGAGGACACGATAATTGGCGAGCACGGGGTTAGTTAACGACTCACGAAACTGTTTAATTATCTCTGATTACAGCGTTCTTTCGTTCCATCTTTGTTACGACCGATCGAAAATTGTCACTTTCAACGAGACAATAATCTGAAACATTCGGCTGAAATTGTTAATGAACGGTTACTGTACATTACCGCTTCCGCCGCAAAATCCTAACCTCAATTTCACAGATCGTTCATGGGTTGAGATGGACGGAAAATTAAAAATTTGTGTTTTGTACTTATTACTTTTATATTTGTATTTTATATATTGTGTATATTTATATATTTGTGTTCTAACAGAGTCTTGTTTTCTCGAATTACAGATGGAGAACCAAGGTTTCGAGGAGGAACGTCAACAGCCAGGGGGGGAAGAAACGTCGCTGCGTGAGCCCCCCCGCGATTCGCCACTGTTCGCCGTAGACTCGTCCGATGGTCACGTATACGAGGACATTTTGCCTGGCGCGGGGGATCTTGCCAACTGTCCCGGAGTTCCGATCGCTCAGGCTGCCCCCCGAGAAGAACCTTCGTCGCAATTGAACAAGGACAGAGATGAAACAACAGTGTTTACGTTTCGTCGTAATTTGACTCTACCGTTTCGACGAGGCACCGATCTCGACCAGTCCACTGTTCGCAGCTCTTCCGTACGTCTGGCGAGTCGAAGTAGAATCGAAGAAGAAGATGGTCATCTAGAAGAGGACGCGGAACTGCCGGCACTTCCGGTCATGTTCCAAGCCGAGTGCAACAGGCCCAATAAAAGACGCAGGAAGAAGGACTGCAAGCATTGTAGAAGCAAAGCAAACGCCGTCGCATTTAACAACGACGACCAACAGCGACAGATCGATCGCGACGGTGAGAACGATACGGTTGTGAGACGGAACAGGGACAATGAGCGACAGCAGCAGCGTCTGCAAATAGTATCGTCGGGCTCGAACGATGCCCGAGCGATCCTCGATCCGCGCGATTTCGCCGCGTTGGCCGCGCGCCTGCCGAACGAATCGGTGGGGGAATCGCGTGGCGACTCGCCCTCGGTGTTCAGCATCTCCGAGAAAATCGCGGGATCATCCCCGGTGAAGCTGAGCGGAAGCGAGCGAATCGGTGGCGCAAATCTTCTCGTCCACTCGGCGGAGATCAACGAGAACGACGCTCTGATCGAGTCGGAGAAGACACGGCCGAGTATGAGGGTAAACTCGATTTATTCGCAGGATCGTTGGTACACCAAGGAGCCGCCGATATTCTTCACCGACGTCAAGGAACACGGTTCGTTTCAGGTGAGCGTCGAAATTCGACACCGTAGATGTCAACTGTTCTTTTTTCTAAAAATTGAAATAATATAATTCGTATGAAATATAATTTTCTAAATTAATATATATTCGTATAATATATGTTTATGTAATTTATTAATTTATAATTATGTAATTTATTATAATTTATTTATTATTCCTAAAATAATATATACTTAATGATATATATTTGTATAACAACAAGGTGAGAAATTGTCGATAATTTCTACTGATAAGTAAGTTCGTAAAAAGCAGGTCGTGTAATAATCTACATACATTGTTAGCCTCGTTTTAGAGCGTGAAATTTCTACTATAATAGCCATGAGTTCGCCTTTTTTTTTTTTTTTTTTTTTTTTCGTTTTTCTCGAGGATGACTTTACATCCATGTAACGCATGGGAAAGTGACTCTTTTTTTTCGAAAATTGTCAAAATTCAAGCGCATGTGAAAACGCGAGAGAATTTTTTTCGGAACTAGATCCATCGCCATGTTGAAAATTGTGATTTCCTGTTCACCGCAACCCATTGAAACTTGCACGATTTTTTTTTTTTTCATCATTTTTTTTATCAAACGTCAAATATTTGGGCTAGGTAACGATAAAAATCCTAACATTTAAAATTCATCTAAAATGACAAGAAAAGAATTGTACAGCTTGTTAGAATTAAGAACTTGTTGTGAAGAGGAAATTTCAATCCTTTAAGACTGCCACAGTTGATTTAGTCATGAACTCACTCTTCCGCCAACTATGTGACGTAAAATCATAAAAGAATAAAACCAAATTTACAACTGTCAAAAAATATAGGCTTCACGCTTTAAAATAACACCAAGTGGATTATTGTATGATTTTTTTTTTTTACAAAATTGCATCAGTTTAAATTATCGACAATTTCTAATTCTCATTTGCACAGTCACGTTCTCTTCGCTGTAAATTTGAAGCGTGTTTCGATTGATGTGAGACATCGATTTCGTTCACGTACGTGAATAAGTAGATTGCTACTGGCGATACGTAGTAGGTTGAGAACCGCAGTCAGAGATGCTTGGCGTGATTTTCGCGTGGCCGCTAGATGGCGGCGAGAAGCGTGTTTCTCGCTAACGATATTCTTCTCCGACTACGATAAATTCGGACTCGAGACGATGGAAAGCATACTTACCTGGCGCAGAGGTTACCGTGATCAAGAAGGCGGTTCCTCCAGGGCGAGGCTTTTCCATTGCACTACGGTTAGGCTGACCCTTGCGAATACCCCTAATGTGGGTATCTCGGGCGTATAATTTTTGATAGTCGGGACTGCGTTCGCGCTGTCCCGGACAATATAGAATTCAAAAAAAAAATCCTAATCCCTTCTGACCAAAATACGATCATAAAAAACTTGTTCATATGTTTTATAAAGAGTTGAATAATTTTGATTCTTTTCTAAATTAAGTTTTTGGAAAAGTGTTTTTATTTTGGAACATTTTGAACAATTTTTTTTTCTAAATTAAGTTTTTGGATAAGTGTTTCTGTTTTGGAACATTTTCAACAATTTTGTTTTTTTTCTAATTTTTCTAAATTAAGTTTTAGGATAAGTGTTTCTGTTTTGGAACATTTTCGATTGCCAAATTTTTTGATCTTTATATTTTTTCTCTTCTCGATTCTCTTCAGACTTGTGACGACTACAGTCTGTTTTTGGATTATCCAAATAATCCGATTGTCTTCGTAAATTAATTTTGTTCGGATACATATTTTCGAACGTTTTCGATTATCAAATTTCAACACTTTCAAAGTGAACGTCACATATACGCACGCACACTTGATTTTGATTGATAAAAGTATTAATATAAATAAACAAATGAAAATATCTACACTAGAACAACCGTATTAGAATATTCATAAGTCGTTATAATTTAAATGAATAGTTTTATATAATTGTGTCTCTGTCCAGAAATTAATATTTGATACGAATATCAAATAAAATTGTTAATAATAAAGATCATTTGGATCTCTGAAACTACACTGTTATAAATATACGAAATTTCAATGAAAAATTCTAAATTGGCCGAAAATTTTGACCATTTTGCTAGTTCTGGTGTTAAAGAATCAAAAAAGTATTTTTACATCAAAATTTTTTTTGCGGATCAGATTTTGCAAATCGGTATGATACGACCGGCAGAAGACGGGGCATTATTCGCATAATACGTCGTATAAATAATTGGGAAATTTGACCTGTCGATGATCGCTCCCTCGGCAGGAATGAGCAGCAGATTTCGTTTTGCTTTCGGAGCGTGCTCGCGCGTCTGGCGCTTGCCCGCCCTAAACGAACAAAACCGAGCAAAACGGAAGTGGAAAACGTCTATCTATAGCCGGAGACGATGATGTTGGCTGCTGCGCTCTCGCGCTCCATCGTCTAAGAATCAGTGTACTCTCGTGACGACGACTAGTCTTCCTAAAGGGGTCGTTGTTACGTTCTAAGACAGTAATACAGATTATACAAGATTATTCGAACGAGACAAGACTTCCGCCTCGAAACTTATTGATGTAGAAATGTTGCAATACTTGCTGAGTACAAACTGACTGTGGGTCCTTTTCGCCGCACTTGTACAGGATGAAAAATAGAAAAAAATTTTCGTCATTTCTAGAGTGGATAGTAGTCGCCGAAACATGAAAAAAAGTCCCAACATACATGGACGAAAAAATTAATAGTTTCGAAGTTATAAACGATTTAAAACCGTCAAAAAACCATGTTGGATAGTGCCACGCTGCAAGATAGAAACCGACTTCCTTGGTGTAATTGTGTAGAAGTACCTGTAAATAAAAGTAGATAAAGTAGAAACTGTCTATTTTGTGCTAAGGTTCAAGTCTAATTGAGGAGAAAGTAATTGAAAGAGGAAGCTTCAATATAGCGATATGGCGCTGTGATCGAAACCGAGCGTATTGTAAATGGGGCATTGCGATCGCTCTACATGGTATTAAAACTCTTAAAAAACTGTATTAGACAGTGCCATGCGGCGCGATAGCGCTTCCTTGATGTAACTGCGAAAAATACCAAGCAACGCAGTTAAAGTCGATAAAGTAGAAACTGTCTATTTACGCAGGTTTAAGTTTAATTGAAAAGAAATTGGGAGAGGAAGCTTCAATGTGGCTCACTACGATATATGGCGCTCTGATCGAAAAACTGAGGGCATTATAAATTGATTAAACGCTGTGGCATTATTCGACGCGAAATCTGAACAGCGCGATCGCGCTGCGTGGTACTAAAACGGTTAAGATTCGCGTTAGATGTAACACGACGCGACGTCAAACCCGGCGTCGGCGACGGGTAGTCAGTTGGACGCGAACTATCGCGTCGGAAGGTACGAGGCAACTATTTATTGTACGTTTCTCGAGCGTGATTCGCAATTCCTCGGTTCTGCATTTATCAAGAAAAGAAAAGAAAAATAGACACACGTACATGATATTTTGACACAGTTTCGTAGCGTCACCGGTTATATTTAACGCGTCGAAGGTTACGAAATCGAGGTGGGAAATTTCAAATTCGAACGACGCTTGCGGAGAAAGAGGAAGAAAAAAAAGTTGGCAGTTATCGATATCGATAGATTTCGCGCCGCGCCCTCTGTTTGTCTTCAGAAAACTGAGTTTCAGAAAATGCTATCGGAAAATAATAGATAAGCGATTATCAAGCGTCGCGTCACAGAGGAGAATGCAGTACCGATGGCCGAGTTTCAGGTAAATTCGCGAACGAGTAGAAAAAAAGTGATCCATCTCCCCCTTCCGAAGAGCCTCATCCGTGATCGATCGACGTGTTCGATGTTGAATTCATAACTCCAGCTTGTGTTTTCAGAGGGCCTACTCCCTTCCGATGCGAACGCAGACCCCGTCCTCCCAAAATCGGATCAACCTGCGACGAAGCGTCAGAGGGGAACCACCTCCGCATCCGGCCAGACTTCGGAAACACAGACACGGCTGGACCTTGCATCTGGCGCATCCTCTCGAGGCTTCCGGGTGCAGCAGGTCTCTCGTCCTCGTGTTGATCGCGTTGCTGATACTCCTGGGTATCGGTGCTGTCGCACTGTACATCGCGTTCGGTAAGTATATTTACAAGTATATTACCTTAACCTCTTAAAGTAAAGTAAAATAATTTGCTATGAATGACGAGTATACTATACTCGTCACGAAGGAATGGCAATTTTTTTTGTGTGTAAAGACGAGTATACTCGTTTTGTGTAATGACGAGTATACTTGTCACGGAGGAATGACAATTTTTTTTTTTTTTTTTTTTGTAATGACGAGTATACTCGTCACGAAGAAATGACAATTTTTTTTGTGTGTAGAGACGAGTATACTCGTTTTGTGTAATGACGAGTATACTCGTCACGGAGGAATGTCAATTTTTTTTTGTGTAGAGACGAGTATACTCGTTTTGTGTAATGACGAGTATACTTGTCACGGAGGAATGACAATTTTTTTTTGTAATGACGAGTATGCTCGTCACGGAGGAATGTCAATTTTTTTTTGTGTAGAGACGAGTATATTCGTTTTGTGTAATGACGAGGATACTCTTCACGAAGGAATGGCAATTTTTTTTTTTTTTGTAAAGACGAAAATACTCGTCACGAAAGAATAGCAATTTTTTTGGTGTAACGATGATGTACGTTATACATTTCAGTTGATACATATCGTATAACTCGTATTAGCAATGCTAATAATATATTACATTGAAAAATGTCAATAAGTATGTCCGTTTTTACTTTCGGTTATAAAAACGCAACTTCCTGACCACAGTTTCCAACATCATCACCACAATTTTTCAGTTACTGACACAAAAAAAAACGATATGACAAAAAAAAATGTTTTAAATGAAAATTAATTAATCAGTATTCGGTGTTCTACAAATTTCCTCCCCAAAAAATTTCGTTTTCACAAAAACTCAAAGTTACCTCTACTTTTTAAACGTCGTAAATTTTCGACTTGACGTTAAAATGGACATCAAGACGAATTCGACGACCTACCGGTGCTATGATCCTAAATCTTGAAAAATAACTCTGAAATAATTTTTTACGCCACGAAAATACTATTTCCACACCACTGTACAATGTTTTCTTATGTTTTAACGATCGTGGCGATCGAGTGAATTAACTGCGCTCTAGGATCGACGTTATTTCCGCTCGATGAATCGAGACGCGAGACGTCCGTTGACCGTTTCTTCCTCGAGGAAACGGATATTTTTAGTCACCGACGTTCATCCGAGAACCCACACGTTCATCCACCGTTGACGTTTCTTGTTGACATTCGTCGACACCTTTCGTTCGTTCCCGTTTCCTCCTGCGAATCATCACCTCGTTATTGGTAATAACGATTCTAAATCTCTAACGGCCTGTCGCAGAACCGGAGAAGCTGCAGATCATTCAACAGTACCTGAGATCGCCAACAAACGGTTCGTCGTCCGATGTCGACGCGTCGACCATCGGGACGTTTCTACTGGGATCGAGCAACGAGGAGTGGAACGGCACGTCGAGCGTGTCACCGACAATACCGACGCGACAGCAACCCTCGGTCGATAATACTCTCGCTCCAATCGGTATCCTTTTCAATGGCGACTCGTCGCTTCTGCCAGCCTCCGAAACGGAAACGAAAGCTACTACCAGTCCGTCCAGTCTCAACTCCACTAGGTACTGCGACGATTGCCTGTCAGAGGAGGTCTGCGTAGCTCTCGTCGACGAAGAGGTACCCATCTGCAGGCTCGCCCTCGATCCCAAGGATCCAACCGGCTGTGCCGGCTTCTGTCTCATCAACAAGCAAAGGTGTCATCGTCTGGACGTCGACGCATTCAGGTGAGTCTCAAGAGTTCGTTGGACTCGATCAAATTTATATCGTCTGGATTTTCCCGCCGATGCAGGTGCGTCGAGGTAGAACATTATTGCCTGGACGACGAGTGGACTTGTCTCAACACGTTGTGCATCCCCCTCGAGAAGCATTGCGACGGGCACATGAATTGCTACGACCACTCGGACGAGTACAATTGCGGTACGTACGCGCGTATACGGTATTAGCCCAGTTTCCACTTTTTCTCTCTATTATCTCTATTATCGGCTTTGCCGTTTATGCGGCTTCAGTTTGCTAGTTTGTCGCGATTACGGAGTAATCCGAAACGTAAGTCTGTCACACGCTCGATAATTCGCGTACACGCGGGAAAAAGGGCCTCTCAACTACGCGCGTTTGTTTGGTTAACAAGTTTTGTTAGATAGCATATAAATGACTTCAGTATTCATAATCGAAAAGCGGATGCTTAAGTAGCCGGTAAGGTAGCTTTCACGTGGCTGGTAAGGTATCTTCCACGCGGTTGGTAAGGTAGTTTTCTCGCGGCCAGTAAGGTAGCGTAAATGAAATAGTCCTAATTTTAATAATTGGTGGAGATAGCGACACTTATAGGGGAACATTTAAATAAACAACATTTAGGTAAAAATACGGATGCTCAAGTAGTAACTACTGTATTAGCTACCGTTTCTCTTGTAGCCTGCGATCTGCAGACTCATTTTCAGTGTGGTAACGAGACTTCCTGCCTTCCGCTGGAAAACAGATGCGACGGCAAGATAGATTGCTGGGACGCCGCCGATGAAATTAACTGCACTTTGGGTAAGATATACGCAACTATACTCGTTCCATTGATCGTTTCGGGAAAAACTTCGCTAATTTGCCAATTATCAATTCGTAGAAATATAATGAATGATCGGTTAATGAACAATTCAGACTGCGAACACTTTCGCGAAAGATTTTCGTATTCGGACAGCAAGTACATATTTGAATAATGCGATGCTGTGTGTAAGAACTGTATTTTACTGCCATCTATGAACAAATTATGTTCGTTAATCGATCACTCACTGCAATTATTTCAACGTACACCTGTATCCTCCATTTACGCGTAGTATATTCGTTCCTGGTGTATTGAATAATAGACTGTTGAAGACTTAACTAAGTAAATAAAAACGGCATAGTGTTATAATTTATCACGTATAAAAAGTACTGCGTAGGTAGGGTTCTAATTTACCACGTGAATGGAGGGATTAGGTGTACAGGGTGCAAAGAAAAGTTTGTGGTTGTCGTAGATGAATTTTGCATCTTCAATTTGATGGAAATACATCTAAAGAACCGCAAAATTAATCTTGATCTTGAATTTCCGACGAGTTGAATTATTCTTGTATTTTATCTGGCACACAAGTTGAATTATTCTTGTATTTTCGTTTTATTTCCTTTTTCTTCGTCTTCTCTCTTCCTTGGGTCAAGGTTTTTCTCAACTTTTCTGTTTTTTTTTTCTCTGTTCTTCTACGTAGGTCTTAATCTCGGTGGGTGTGAGTACAAACTCTCGTTCATTCGATACGCTGCTCGATCTCCGCATGCCATTGCACCCTGGCTGATATAATCGCCACTGAACGCACTGCGCACGCTTCTTCACGCATTGCACACACGATCCCCACCCTTCTTCCTGCAATACTCAACCTAACCCAAACCTAACCTCTTTCTCAGAGCTTCTCGCCGACCGAAATGCTTTGACATACTTCAAAAAAAAAAAAAATGTAAAAATCGTGCGCAACGCTTCCTTCGTTTGCATCAACGTTTCTTTTGACATATACCAGCCTGCCCCTCGGAGAATGAGTTCACGTGCAGCAACGGCCAGTGCATACTTAGGGCCCGCTTCTGCGACAGTTTGCCAGACTGCCTCGACGGATCGGACGAACCTCATGGCTGCCAAGGACGGTGCAACAAGCAGGAGTTCACGTGCCAGTAAGCCGACATGCGTACTTGCGAATGCACACGCTCTTCTAACAACCATACGAATTGATTTCCCGTTTCAACGACGCTTTCTTCACGCAGGAACAACAGATGCATTACGAAGGGAATGAAGTGCAACGGGGTGGACGATTGCGGCGACGGGACCGACGAGAGGCACTGCAAGGATCGATTCTCTTAACTTTTCTCGACGTTTTCGTCGCGTTACAGTATTTTTTTTTTTTTATTGCGAATCGATGTAATTAAATCGTTGTACATAACTGTGCTGTGTTGTACAAACACGCAGTGGTGTGGAATAAACCATTTACAAAAAACGGAACACTTGACATTAAGAGTGCAATTACTTAGGAAACGATATTTATATATTTTATTATTGTATCGTATATGATAGAGACTACAAACGTCAATTTTTACTGTATTTGTCTTGCTCGTCAATCAGACAGAACATTGTTTTCTGTACTTTCTGTTACAAACAAAGTATAATATTTCCTTACATATGTATGTATGTATATATATGTGCTACTAAATAGGAGATCTTCGTTTTAAACAAAGTGCATTTGTCTACTAGTAAGCTATTTATACACACTTAGAATCGTATATATTTTTGTATACAAATACGTATGTATAAAGTCTATGTACAGAATGATTGTTAAATGCACGTCCACATTTCAAGTAACATTGAAATATATAAAGTATGGTAATATATATATTATAAATATATATATATATTAGGTAATATATATATTATAATTATAAATATATATATATATATATTAGGTAATATATATATTAAATTATGGTAATATATATATTACATGTATATGTATGTATACGTAAAATATGCCCTAAATAATTTATTTTTGAGTTGTAGATAATTGAAGAAAATATTCGCCTTGCGTCTCAACTTGCCACGCTACTTCATGCCTTGACACTGAATTCTGCACTCACTCGAAAATACCAATTATCTCTCGAATAATCTCAGATCCACCCTGAATCCTTTCTTGCAGATCATGCAGGATATACGATACAGGTTTTTAAATTGCGTCGAGTTTTGTTTGACTCGATAAATATTTTTTTTCATATACGGAGAAAGCACACAACAGTGGACATTCTCTTCAATCATCTACGTATAATTTGAAAACTAATGCATGCGGAATATACAGATCTGTGTGACGATTTTTTTTTTTTTTTTTTTTTTTACTTTACGGTACAGATTTACCCAAAGTATAGACATTCATTTAAGAATCATCCTGTATACAAGTTCTGTATATATATGTATATCTTATCTATGTCATATCTTTATATACACAGATATATCATACGCACATCTCGATATTGCTTTCACAAAGATCAACGCTTCCAAATGTATATTTCCCTCGTCCCTTCGAATTTTCGTCTACATCGGAGGTTGTTTAGAGAAATTCATCCGGCTCTCTTGGTGCATCGAGATCGCGGTAATGAATCACTGGTCGAAAGTCTCCTCCGCCGCCACTGCAACGTTTGATAAAGATTAATCTGTATGCTGTTTTCGGCAATGTGCTCGTTGTGAAAATAATTGACGACGACAGACCAACTGGACATAGGATTCGAACGGAAACATGGGATGTAAAAAATAAAGCACACGTAAATAGAAACAAATGATTTTATTTGCTGCTCATCGGCATATAAAATTGCAGCGTCTATCGATCTTGCTTCTCTTTTTTTGTTTTTGCAAAGAAACGCGATATAAGAATTCTCATTGCCAAAGAACGCAAAGATATTCTCATATGCGTTTCTTTCTTTATATACACGACTCGCCAACGATAAAAGCAGGAAGTGTGCTGATTTTTTTTGTAACACATCGCGGTTAATTGGACGGTTTGCTCGAAAGTACTCTCTGTTACATAATCCAGATATAAATCTGCTGACACGAAAATCGGATATCTGTTTGGAGAATTTCTCTCTCTTTTTTTTTTCTTTTTTAAATTCCGTATGTAAGAAACCCGAAATAGTAAAACTTAGAACATGTCCATATCTAGCTGATCCAAATCGTTATAATTAATAATAGGCCTCGAAGTTGAGTCCGGTGCAACCCTGTAAAATACCGTATCACTACGTTCAATATATCGGAGGGGAAAAGAATTTAGGAAAATCGCCAGTGATCGATTTTTTTTCAAGCCCTCGAAAGTTGTAACGCGTTTCGTTGTACTAGAGGCTGACTTATTACAGTATCAGTGAGACGCGTAAAATTCGAAGGAAAAGAGTGCCTTACCGTCCTCGATTAAAACCACCGCGGTTGGAACGCGGCATTCCGAATCCTCCACTGAATCCTGTTCCATAACTCGAACCATAACCTCCTCTGCTACCACCGTAACCAGGCCCGTAGTTTCCAAATCTTCAATAACAAATTAGTGTAGTCAATGATCAGTAAACGAGTCGTGCAACGTGCCACGAATACTACTAACAAGTTCTAAGTTAAACTTACGTGGCACATCCATAAGGAGTAAAACCTTCGCGTATGCTCTCCCTCGGAGGTGCTTTGTTTCCCGGATGTTCGGGTAGCTGTGGTCTCTTTGGATCTCTCAAGTAATTATTGAAATATTCCGCCTCCGCTTTCACCTCTGCCACTTTCTCCGCGTGCTTGTTGAAAATATGCTTCCGAATGAAGTCTGGCCCTTTGAACTTTTTCCCGCTAAGTGGGCACAACCACTTGTCCTTCGACAGTTCTTGGGTATTGGCTTGAACGAACTTTTCAACTTCACTGATTTAAAACGTCAAGGAGATAATAAACAGGGGAAAGTTCTACGCAACGTGCAAAAGAAAAAAACAAATAAAAAAGGATACGCTTCGGCATTTTTAGCACCCAACTTGTCGTACTCCTCTTGCGACAAGGTCGCAACTGGCTGCAAGAATGCTGCCATTTTACTCTCGAAATTGCGACAGTATTCGGACAATTCGGTGATGGTCACTTTAGCGGTAGGAGGAGATCCTCTAACGTGCATTATTCCACATCTATTTGGCATTTCGTCCTCGTTTGGATATTCACAGTGATTGTAATAATCGACCGAATGAACTATTCGCAGGTAAAGTATCAGCCTGTCTAATACCTAAAAGGGAAAACAATCACTCGAGTAATTAAAAAGAAAAAGAAACTTTATCTACATTTCGTACCTTGATGAGTGATGGATCTCTTTCAATTGGACCATCTCCGTCACCACCTAATTGACCCTCTTCTTTGTCACCAGACATTCCTAACAATTCCTCTTCTTCGGCCGATGCCTCTTCTATCAGATAGTCGGTTATGTTCTTCAACACTGGATTTTTAGACGACAATCCAAATGCCTGTAGAAACATACGTCAAGATATTTCAACGAGATCATTACAAAGCACTATCTATACGTGTAAATTAGTCGCTGTCTTATATAGTTTGCTCAACTTTATGTACATTTTGGATACTTTTTTCTTTATTGTCGTCATCCTGTTTCGTCAGTGTGTTATCGTCTTTTCTCTCCTCGTTCCACAAACCAACTCTGCTGTCCAGATTGTGCACGATTTTAGCACTCAACTTGATGTCATGTCTGACTATTTGTTTGTGGGACGTTAGACCATTCACCGTGCGTATACGACGCGAGAGATCTCGGTTTACTATAGCACCAAGTTCGCAGTCCCGCAACTGTAAGCAATATGTTTGTAACATTTTAATTTCTTCTTGTTTATTCAAATACCTATTACACACGCTTTAACTGTTGGTTAACATACCCGAATATTGTTTAAACTCCAACATATCTCTTTTATGTTCACTTGTCTTTCAAAAGACACCCATCCTCTTCTAAACCATCTTCTTTCCGGTTGAGGATCCGCTATGGCGACTCGTAAAAATCCAGGAAAGCGTTTGCACATCTATTTTTTTTTTTTTTAAACCAAACACACATTTATCTAGGGAAATGTAACCAACAAACAGATGTATACGACGTAGATACAATTACAACGACTAACCGCTTCGACCTCTGCCTTTGTTATCGTAGGTGCCAAATTACGAAGGAAGATACTGCTGGTTTTGTGCAAAGCTCTGGGTTCTTTTTCCTTATCTTCGCTAGCTAGATCGATCACTGCTTCTGGTTCCATGGCAGATTTTTTTGCCTCTGGCGGCGGCTCACTGTCTCCCTTAGTCCCTCGATCGTTTTCTTTACTATCTTGCGCATCAGTATTTTCGTTGCTGACATCCACTTTTCCAGTTGTATCTGGAACGAATTCAGTTAAGAAGTAATTGAAACTTTCAAGATGAATTTACGAAACTACGTACGAGGTTCTGCTTTCGACGTATCCGGTTTATTACTGTCGCTGCCAGAGGAACTGCTACTGCTACTGCTGCTGCTGCTGCTACTGTTACTATCGGTTCGTTTCCTCTTCTTAGTATTAACTTCCTCTGGTTTACCTGTATCAAAGTTGAAAGAAAAAAGAAAGACAATAGAACGATAAGCATCGCACGTTACTTAACAAACGAAACGAATACCCGTGCTATCCGCATTATCCTCCTTTTTTGTTTCTTCTATATTCTCCTCCGTCTTTTCAATTTCTTCCATCGAGGTTTCATCCTTCTCTGCACTTTTCATCTCGGCATCAGTGGTCTGTCCATTCTTCAAATTCTTTTCCGTTCGTGAAACTTCATCAACCTTGGTCGCGTCGCTGCAAATCAATACAATTGCAATCAATCTTTTCTTTTCATTTTTTAACAAATATTTATCCATACCTGTTATCAACCTTTTTCTCGACGCCAGCTTTGTTTTTTCCATCCTCCTTGTCTTTGACTGTGTCTTTAATTGCAATCATGTTTGCCGGTTTTACGTCCAAGACTTGCAAATCTTCCTCCGTACCGCCTTCTAGTTTAATAACCACTGCATCCAACAGATGCAGCAAAACATCGGCTTGATCAGCATCCACCGATACTTTATCTATCTCTCCAACTTGGAGCATTTCCAGGAACACTTCGACACGTTTCTATAAGAAAAAAAAAAAAGTGGTAAAAATAACAAAGTCGATGGATATTAAAATACATATTACAATTCATACCTTAAGAGCTGCCACCTGTTCTTCTTTTCTTTTCACCGACTCTTCCGGATGATACTTGATTTTGAACCTGACGGAATCGATGAAAGAACGCGATATTTCAATCAGTTTTGAAATAAATTTCTTATCAGTTAAAGCAAACAGACGTACAATTTGTGGATTTATCATTTACATAGATTCGAGAAAAGTGCATTAGAATTAAGTTAGTTGTACTAAATCCTCAATATAATTCTATACCGAGAATATATGTTCGCGTAAGCACGAGTGTGCTTTTTATCAAATATATATGTGTATATGTGTGTATACATATATTTACGTAATCGTGAAAAATTTATCGCGATAGATGCTGAACAAGAGATATAGCAGTAATTGTTACGTATCCCATCCATATTTAGAGCGAATCATTCTTCGTGACTAAGTGATTATTATTGTATCCTTTTCCTCGAAACGATTATTTTACGAATTATCAGTTTTACTTGTCAACATTGTCAGTTACAGAATGAAGCCTCACCTGATAGAGTCTGATATTTCTACTCGCATTCGGTTTTCTCGTCGACTCAGAGGTCTATTGTAACGATATATTATGTCAGAAATAATTAAACGGGTTTAGAACGCGGCCTACCGCGAGCGTGTTTGGGCTTTGCGCGCCCAGCTCGCATCTTTGCTCAACTACATAATAGCAACCTCGAGTCTTCTCCGATGCGCGAAACGCGATATGCATAAAATATCGTACGCAAAAATAAACGAGCGAGGTGACTCGTGCCCAAGACATAAGGTGTTGCTGGCTGTACGCTGTAGGGATAGACAGAGCTGGTCATATTGCTTGCAATTATCGATAAATTTGTGTCTGCAATTTAGCAAAAATTATAAAACTACTAAACACCCCAACGTACTTCTGTTCGACGTACGTGTGCATACGTTTTCTAAGCAAACGTACCCGAACAGACAGTTTGACAAGTTCGTTAGGATCAAAAGATTATTTTCTACAGTGGACACAACTTTCATCATGTGACAAACGTGATGCATTTCTTCGGGAACGTGGATTACAAGTTTACTACTGTTCAACGAGGTGAATAACAGCCGAGCCACTGTAGAAATTAATTATTTTCATATCCACATTCAAGTACGGCTGAGCTTCACACGATGTGTTAGGATGATGATTTTGAGACCGTTATCACTGAAAACTAAAAGATGAAATATACCATTCCTCGTCCTTGTGTGCAACGAAGAATTCATTCAACTGTTGCCTCCTGAATTCCAATTTATACTCGTTATATCGCTTAATAGCTTCCTCGTCCGTGATCGAGTCCTCCTGAGTGCCAAGGAACGCTTTGAAAGACATCATCGGTGGCTGAGTCTCGACGTTACTGTTGCTGAAGTTGCCAGCTACTTCTCGACTACACAGAACATGGAACAGGACTTACAATCAGCCGTGCAGGCGAAACACTTGAACGCTACCTCAATCGGGCCAACAATCTTGGTGTAAACCGACTCCTTTTCTGCATGCTCATGATACAACCTCTCTTTTTCATGACAGTAGCGTTCATAGAGCAAATTCACAAAAAAGGAAGAAAACGAAAAGGAAAACGAGGAAGAGAGAGAGAGAGAAAAAGAAAGAAAAAAAGAAAATCTATATGAAAAATAAAACATAAGAAACACAAACCTGTTACTGTTACCATGGTTTCCGTAGTGATGATTACCATGGTGGGGAGGTGGATAATGATCAGGGCCCCAGGAAGTCACGCCGCCACCTCCACCACCGGTGTAATAATCATGCCCGTATCTCGGACGGTCGTCCCAATCCGCTCTCATTCTTTTCATCGGAGGGGCCATCTCTTGCGACCTGCCAGGACTATATCTGTCTCGTCCTCCACCGCCGCCTCCACGGTACTCTCTGTAGTCCGGACGCTGTCTAGGTCTGCTAGACCACTCTCTGAAATAATCACTCTGTCGTTACAACTACAAGGGATTGTTTGCCTGCCTAGTGTGGTTGCTTGTCTATGTTGTCTACGCTGTCTACTCTGACATCTATGAATGAATTAGTTACCTATCCACCCAATCGTCTCTTCTTCTATCATCTCGCCGACCTTCTCTGGAGTAAGACTCGGTTCTCTCCCCTCTGAATTTGTCTCTTCTCTTCCTATCATATTCGTCGTCGGAGTCACCCATAATGAAAGAAGCTAATGCTAAACAGACAAGATACAAGTAAGTAAGAAAGAATCCAATGCTACAAACAAGATACAAGATACAAGTTCGCAACGACTTGACTCGATCGTAAACACTGGCACTATTCTCTGGAATCGTTGGTCCCAAACAGAAAACAGGTTAAGTACGCACTCGGGGCACACACGTATCTTTCAGCACGTAGTTAACAAATCGTTATTTCAATCAACGTAGTTAGACTTGCGCCACGTACAAACATTCACGAACGTACACGCTGCAGAGATATCGACTATTTGGAAATTTTTTTCGAACAAAATTCGTTCCAACGAAGCGGCAGTCTGCTTCTTTACAACAGGCTGTTAAAATTACCTGTAATCTAGTGACTTACGTCGTGCTGTGACAACCGAGGAAGTAACCTGTCCGAGTCAAAGGAACTGAAACACAAATAAAAACACTCACCCACTCAAACTATACCGACGAACGAAATCAAAACTCCATCATGGAGGCACTCTTGCCACCGTGCGTTACCAAAGTACTATTCTTTACGAGGTGCGGCGTCAGATCGCTGCAATCGATAACGCACTCGTGCGTCGACTTGCCTTCCGTTCGAGTGGCGCGAAATTCAAACGGGCTTCAGACTTGTATCGGTAGTATCGCCTATACCAGTAGATATTTTTCGCGTAATTTCAACTATCTGGCAATTTAACACATCGTATAGATCGTATGTTACTCTGTTTTTGTTCTCTATTTCTATTTTCTAACATTTAATACGTTGTAAGGTCATGTATGTTGTCCTGTTTTTATTTTCTATTTCTATAGTTTGAATGCCAACAGTCTCGAGCTAGTGTTCGATCGAATGTTGCGAAACATACACGATTTATGTGAATAATTATCAGAATCGACGCTTCGACCAAGATTCTTTTGTCTGGCGCCGAGAGATATATTACAATATTTATATAGTAAATGTTACAATATTTATATGGTAAATATTACAATATTTATATAGTAATGTTACAATATTTAGTAAATGTTATAATATTTAGTGAAACATGAAAATATCAATAGTCTTTATTTTTTTTTTTTTATTTAAGCTCATTTAAGATTCGTTACAGCTATATCTGTGGAACTAAAATAACAGAATAAAGGAGAATATGAATTTTATACATTAAGGTTACAGTTTTTAAGGAAAGTTGCAATATTGAGCCGGGATATCTGGTTTAGCAATTATTATGTCGACTTTTAAAGGTAAGAATAATTTGTATTTGCTGCACAAATGGTTCTTGATAAGTTTAATTATATACATATATATGTATAAAAAATATATAAATATAAAAAATATATATACATGTTTTATTTTTCATAGAGTTTAACTTTTTTGTAAAATTTCTAATTTTTATTTTAATAAAATTATCAATTAATATTTACAATATTTATAAAATTATTAATTATTAATATAAAATTATTAATTAACTTTTTTGTAAAATTTCTGATTTTTATTTTAATAAAATTAATTTATTAGTATTTCTAATTTTATATTTAATTATAATTTCTATCAAATCAATATTTCTAATTTTATATTTTCAAGTTCATTTTTCTATTGACTAAAGACACTTGTAAATATATATATATACATTTTCTTGTGACTTTACTTTATATTTTTCTTTCTGTCTTTGGCGGTAGATCGGCAGAAAAATCAACGTTACGACCTCGTGGGTCGACAAGGTGCTAAAAAATTCGAAACAGAAAAATCTGCCAATACGATCGATATACAGTGGCAGCATGTGACTAATTGTCGGTTTACAGACAAGACGGACGGTTTCACTGGCATTTGCTCCATGACTGTGCACGCGGCACTTTATTTTCAAAAAAAGAAAAAAGAAGAAAAAAATAGAAAACTGTTGAGCAGCTGAAAATCTACGGTTTTCCCGTAATCCGATATCAATCTCCCATCCGGGATATATCGACGGTTGATGAAACGCATGCCGTTAACGCTTATTCTATAAATAATTCTGCGATCATGCGGCAGCAATTGATCGTCGATTTTTCTTCTACGCGGTTCGCGGTATCGTCTGCCGTGCAACATTGAGCGAAATCACAATCATCGGATACAGAATTACACATTTACCACGTGCGAAAGGAAAACGAAGAGATCCCTTTTCCCTTCGAGTTGTTGTTTTTTTTTTTTTTTTTTTTTTTTTCTCAANAAAAAAAAAAAAAGGAAGATAAAAATTTTCTCCCTCCGCCAAGAGGAGCAGACGAATGTCAAATTGGCGAAGCTATTTATTTGTTCGTCGAGGAGAACAGAGGAGAAGGAGTGTTCGTTAATTCGAAAGAGAGCGGCATCTACTTCGTCTCTTCTCCCTTTCGGATGGAAGACGTGAGAGGCATCGTTTCGACTCTCGTGGAAACTCCTAAAGTCGGATGACGTGGTCGATTATCTTATTGTGCACACTGTCACGCGGACACACAGTCCGGTAGAACGATTATTACTCATTGCCACCCACGTTCGGACTCGCTTCTTCGCACGACGGGGATGATGCTCCGGCACGAGAGCCTCCTTTCACCGCCGGGGGTATCCTTATATATAGAAGTATCGTCTCGGATGGAGGAGATGGTCGCGATCGAGCGATCAAGGACTCGAGCGTGACGTCCAATCTAAGGATGATCGGGATCATTGAAATCGGGATGTCAATCCGGTTGCCAGTGTTCGTCCTTCTGATCGCCACGGTCGTTCTTGGTTCAGGTAATCGATCATCATCAGGTTCATCGTCTTCTTCTTTTTTTTTTTTCTTTTTTCTTCCCTTCGCCTTACGCAATTGCAGCCACAAGGACATGGAAGTTAAGTTTTTTGTCACAGGGTCTCTTAAATGTTCAAATTTAGACGACAAATTGTTAATCTAATTAATTCAACAATTAGCTGTATAAAATGTGCTAGAGAGGTTTAAGGGAAGTTGATAGATTAATAAGTGAATAAATAAGAAAATCTCGATTATAATATTGACATTGGCAAGACGTCTTGTTGAAATCTAAGAAATCCAAAGGAATTTGTAGACACGATGAAAAACATTGGAGACATCTTGTTACAAAAAAAAAATTGTTACATTAGAATTATAGAAATTGATCTGACATTCTGAGAATCCTTTAAAGGTGAAAATTACAACGAACTTACTTAACAACGTTATATTAAATCGTGAAGGAACTAATCAACAATTATCAGAAAAGATGTTACAAATAAAAATTCAATTATATTATTCTAGCAGTCGACGATGTTCTAAATTCTGGCCTGTTGTTTTCCAGGTGCGTACAAAGGAAACGACGGAAGCGGCGGGAGCCTAGCGTACAGTAAGTACCGTGAAAAAGCAAGCGTTTGAAGCTTCCAAGAAGGTTTCGCTAAATGTTTTCATCGACTCGGTGTTTGGGGGGGGAGAGCAGGTAGCGCGTACGCGGCCGCAGATGCCTGGCAGCCATTTCCTGGAAGCGGAAGCCACGACGGGCACAAAGGAATTCGCAGCTACGACAACGACGGCAGCAATCGGCCGAACGCAGATGGAAATCGTCGAAATGCCGGCTGCTCCAAGTGCAAGTGGGAGGACGACGATTACTGGGAGAAGGGCTGGGAGGATGAAGCTGAACCGGATGACAAAGAAGACGGTGACGACTGCTACGACGATGGACAATACAGAGGACATGATCACGGACATCATGGAAATAAAGGATCGCCTCCGGGCGTGCAGAAGTTAGGAGCGCCTAATCCCAGTGGTGCGAGCGGTGTAGGAACTCTTGGTGGTCCTCCGGTCAAACAGGGAGACTCTGGTCAGCAGCCTGGACCAGGATGGACCGCCGGTGCTCCTGGAATTCCTTCGAAACCCACTTGGAATCAAGGATTCGACGACGGCGCGGGTTCACAGCCGTTTGGAAATTTGCCGAACGTGGGTGCAGCGAGGCCAGCCGACGCCGGTGGATCAAAAACTGGTTCCGAATGCTCTGGCGGTTATCAGCGTGGCACCGGTTGCGCTCAAGGTTAGCTAGAATTTTTACGTCCGATTTGTATGTCGATGACAATGCAGAAACACTCGCGTATACATTTGCATAAATTGTTCGATGCGTCGAGAAACAGAAGATGCTGCGAAAAAACCAATACACGAGGAAGAATCGCGATTTTCAATTCAATACGTGTCGGTCGATTTATCGTTTAGGTTCCGGCGGTGTTGGCCCCGTGAAACAACTGCCGTTCGTTGGACTTAATCCTGCAAACGTTCAGAAAGAGGCTCCCTCCGATTACGCCGGGGGCCCTACGGCAGTTTATAACCCTCGGGGATCTCCAACTGTCGGAGGATGTTCCAACAGCCCTTACGACACCAGTTGCGCCGATAAATCGGTCGATGGAACGAGGCCGCGCGACAGTTCTGTTGTGCCTTCGTATGGACCCAGTGTGGAACATGGACAACATCCTGCTGGTGGATCTCCCCAAACTAGCCCTTTTGGATCTCTGTACGATTCTTCTGCAAGTCAGGGACAGCGTCCTGGCAGTGGATCTCCCCAAAGCAGTCCTTTTGGGCCTTCGGGTCAAAGGCAACGTCCTGGCAGTGGCGCGCCTCAAGGCAGTCCTTTTGGGCCTTCAGGTCAAGGACAACATCCTGGCAATGGAGGGCCTCAAAGTAGTCCCTTTGGACCTTTAAATCAAGGACAATATCCTGGCAGTGGATCGCCACAAAGCAGTCCTTTTGGGCCTCCAGGTCAAGAACAACATCCTGGCAGTGGATCGCCTCAAGGCAGTCCTTTTGGGCCTTCAGGTCAAGGACAACGTCCTGGCAGTGGAGCGCCTCAAAGAAGTCCCTTTGGACCTTCAGATCAAGGACAACATCCTGGTAGTGGCGCGCCTCAAGGCAGTCCTTTTGGATCTTCAGGTCAAGGACAATATCCTGGCAGTGGAACGCCTCAAAAAAGTCCCTTTGGGCCTTCAAGTCAAGGACAACGTCCTGGCAGTGGATCGCCTCAAAGAAGTCCCTTTGGACCTTCAGATCAAGGACAACATCCTGGTAGTGGCGCGCCTCAAGGCAGTCCTTTTGGGTCTTCAGGTCAAGGACAACGTCCTGACAGTGGAGCGCCAAAAGAGAACTCCGGTTTCGGTACAGGACCGTACAGAGAATTTCCAGGAAGTACTAGACCGGGAAATCCTCCAAACTTCAATGCTGTGGCAAACGCAGTAAGTTCGAGCGTGGCATACGCATCCACGGGATCAGGAGTTGGTCATCCTACGAGCGGGCCATCAACTCCAACGTACTCATCCGGACCGTTGCTAGGTTCTCCAGGCTTTTCGGGTGGAAACGTTCCTTACGGATCTCACAAGCCTAGTCACACCAATGTCAAAGGACGTCCTTTAGATACAACACCAAAATTCGATGCTTCTAAAGACGGAGAGAGCAAAATCTTCTATATAGACGTAAAGCCTGCTCCAGGAAGTCCTGTGGGAGTTAGACCTCGCACCACTACAAGTGCGCCCTACAGTGTCGTAAAAACAACTCCTGTCCAACAGCCTAGTTTTTACAATCCACCTGGATCGACGAAACCTCCTTACCAACCTACTCCATATAGTGGTCCTGGTATAACGAAACCTTCTTATCAACCTACTCCCTACGATGGTCCTGCTACGACGAAACCTGCTCCTTATAATGATCCAGGAATAACGAAACCTTATCAGCCTTCTTCTTACAGTGGTCCTGGTACAACCCAACCTTTCTATCAATCTCCTCCTTATGATGGTCCAGGCATTACGAAATCTTCTCATCAGCCTGCTCCTTATGGTAGACCCGGTACGACGAAAGTTCTCCATCAGCCGACTCCTTACGGTGGTCCTTACGGTGATCTTGGTACAACAAAACCTTCGTATCAACCTGCTCCTTATGATGGTTCTGGGATAACGAGACCTTCCTATCAACCTACTCCTTATAGTGGTCCCAGCACAGTGAAACCTTCCTATCAGCCTGCTCCTTATGATGGTTCTGGGGTAACGAGACCTTCCTATCAACCCACTCCTTACAGTGGTCCCAGTACAGTGAAACCTTCCTATCAGCCTGCTCCTTATAGTGGTCCCACTACAACAAAACCTTTCTATCAGCCTGTACCTTATGATGGTCCTGGAATAAAGAAACCTTCTTACCAGCCTGCTCCTTACGGTGGTCCTGGGACAATAAAACCATCCTATCAGCCTGGTGGTACCGAAACGACAAAGTCTCCTTACCAATTTTTACCAAAAGATACAAATGTCGGTTGCACACGTGGGGCTGAAGATTGCGGAGCTGCGAGAGGATGTAGCGGTGGAACAAATCTGAATGGCTCTCCGGATTACAAGCCCTGTGGTCAACCTGGTCTTCCAGTGGGCGTTAACAAGACTTCCGGACCAGTAGGGGGTTTCCAAGCGTATCCAACTGATTTTTCACAAAATCCTCAGCAAAACATTCCTGGTGCAATTCAACCGTTCGACGGATTTCCCGTGGGAGTTGGAAGCGGTTCACGAGATTGTACGTCTGGTACAAGTAGCGACTGCACCTCTGGCTCGATCAGACCGGCATACGTTGACAATAAAATTCCTGGAGAAGGAGGATCGTATTCATCGAATCCCTTCTTAAATGGGAAAATTCCTAACCTAATTGGAATGACCCACGGTAATTAAGGAGAAAACTTCTACACTTCTTTTCACTCGTGTTTGCTAACTAACTTGATATTAAAATAACTGAACAGATGCTGGTAATTAACGAGAAAAAAACTTACCGTTTTTTGATCTATATTTGCAACTAATTAGGTACTAAAACAACCTAATACTGATAACTAACGAGAGCTTCCGCTTCCTTTTGTTTGTACAGTAGTGACCTCATGGCTGACCAAACTTCAGACCACTATGCCCAGTCTACGCTACATGCAGCCGCGTCAAACTTGCTCAAACAAAACAAGCGATATACATACATACATGATCCCCACTCTTATACACCGACACTCTTAGATAACCAGTTTCAGCCCTTGGTCAATGATAAAGTCACTACGTATTTGTAACTAATTTAATACCAAACTAATTTATAGATGCTGGTAATTAATGAGAAAATTTAGACATCTTTTTGATCTGTATTTGCAACTAATTAGATACTAAAAGAACCTAATAGGTACTGATGACTAACGAAAGCTTCAGCTTCCTTTTGTTTGTACAGTAGTGACCTCATGGCTGACCAGATTTCTGACCTATGCCAACTGTACGCTACTTTACATGCAGCCGCGTCAAACTTGCTCAAACAAAACAAGCGATATACATACATATATGATCCCCATTCTTATACACCGGCTCTCTTAGCTGATTAGTTTCGGCCCTCGATCAGTTATAAAGTCACTACGTATTTGTAACTAATTTAATACCAAATTAATTTATAGATGCTGGTAATTAATGAGAAAATTTGGACTTCTTTTTGTTCGTATTTGATACCAAAATAACTTAATTGATGTTGGTAACTAACGAGAAAAGCTCACACTTCTTTTCACACGTGTTTGCAACTAATTTAATACATAACTTGATAGATGTTGATAATTAACGAGAAAACTTACGCTTCTTTTTCGTTGGTATTTGCAACTAATTTGAAACCAAAATAAACTAATAGATGATGGTAATCAATATACATTAATAACAGGAAAATCTACACTTCTCTTCATTCGTATGCACAACTTAATACTAACAGATGTTGGTAACTAACGAGAAAAGCTTATGCTTCTTTCCGCTCCTGTTTGCAACTAATTTGATACTAACATATATTAATAGATGTTGGTAACTAACAAGAAAAATTACGCTTCTTTTTCGTTCGTATTCGGAACTAATTTAATACCAACATAATCTAATAGATGTTGGTAACTAACGAGGAAACTTACTCTCCTTTTTCGTTCGTTTTCGGAACTAATTTAATACCAACATAATCTATTAGATGTTGGTAACTAACGAGGAAACTTACTCTTCTTTTTCGTTCGTATTCGGAACTAATTTTCATACCAACATAATCTAATAAATGTTGGTAACTAACGAGAAAACTTACTCTTCTTTTTCGTTCGTGTTTGCAACTAATTTGATATCAACATAACTTAATAGATGTTGGTAAATAACAAGAAAGCTTGCGCTTATTTTTCGTTCGTATTCAGAACTAATTTAATATCAACATAATCTATTAGATGTTGGTAACTAACGAGAAAACTTATGCTTCTTTTTCGTTCGTATTCGGAACTCATTTAATACCAACATAATCTAATAGATATTGGTAACTAACGAGGAAACTTACGCTTCTTTTTCGTTCATATTCGCAACTAATTTAATACCAACGTAACCCAATAGATGTTGGTAACTAACGAGGAAACTTACTCTCCTTTTTCGTTCGTATTTGCAACTAATTTGATACCAGTAATCAATATACATTAGTACAGTAATGAATATACATTAATAACAAGAAAATCTACACTTCTCTTTGTTCATATTCGCAACTAATTTAATACCAACGTAATCCAATAGATGTTGGTAACTAACGAGGAAACTTGCTCTCCTTTTTCTTTCGTATTCGCAACTAATTCTCTACCAAAATTGATTCTATTTTAGGTGGCCAATTCGCAGCTACAACTACTAGCAAACCGATCGGTCTTGGGAATCCGTTCCTGCAACCAGGAATCGCTGGTGCGTTCGCAGGAGCGGCAGCTTGGAGCAACGTCGGTAGCGGGGCAGCATCGAATCCAGCTGGTGAAAGCGTCGTTTCAATCGGAGGAGAGACGACCAAGCCTATCGGCAAGGACAATCCTTTCCTCGGAGAATCGGGGCACGGAAGGGGAGACATCGAAATCGATAACCCTCCTGATCCAACGCCTGGAGGATCTGCGTCTTGGAGTCCAGGCAACGACCTGGCCAATACCGGGCTCGGTCAGACCAACGTGAATCCTTTCCTCGGCGATAAAATTCCACAGGGAAGCGTCAGACCTTCGGATCGTTATCCTGGCTCGAGTTGGAGTTCAGGGCCAATCGACGACGCGAGTTCCTCGGCGATGAAAAGTCCATCAGCGGCACCACGCGGCTCGGGAAGCGGGGGAGGTGTTGGAATCGGTTTGGGAGGATTCGCGAGTGACAAACTCGGGCAAACCGGGCACGACGGCGGCGGTTCCTTCCCTGGCGCATTCTCTGGAGCGTTCAGCAGTTCACAATCCTCTTCCAACTCCGGGGCAGGAGGTATTTCGTCCATTTTCCTTGAACAATTTTGACATTGTATTATATTTATATGTCGATATCAATGCATTCGCGATCGCACAATATTTTGAAAGTTATATTATATTTCAAAGTTCTATAAATAGAACTCGACGTGGTTCGAGGTAAATGATAAAGTATTTGTTATTATTGGATTTATTTGAAAACACGGCATCACATCAGCAGCAACCACGATCAGTGATTGCAATGAATTGTGAATTTACGTCAGCGGTGAATGTGTTAAGAATATAATACAACGTTGTTGTATCTCCTTGATCGATAATTCAAATCAATTGTGGTCAACCAATCAAACACAAATTAAAGGCAAATTAGAGACAATTATATGTAGATTCCATCGTATTTTTGATGTCTTTGATATTGTATAATATTTCAACAGTTGCGTGTATTATTATACACACGTACGTCCACGTTATATTTGTACGTGATGTGTTTGATAAAGTAATGATTCATGAAACTAAAAATTCATAAAACTTTCAATTGAGAACCAAAGTCTGACACTCATTTTATACTTTAGTATTTTACGTTTATGTTTGTCGTATATATGACGATACGATTATAATAAATATTTACGATTATGTTATTTAAAAATTCATGAAACATTCAGTTGAGAACCAAGAAAATCTGTCTTATCTCATACTTTATACTTTGACCACGATACAATTGCAATTTTTATCGTAAACTGTTCATTTCAAACTGCAATTTTTACGATTATGTTATAAAAAAAGAATTCATATAAGAATTGCATTCGAAAATAATTTCTCAACAGTCTCTCGATTTTCAGCAACAAATCCAATTTTTGGACAAGCAAACGACGGAAGTTGGGCTTCTAGCGGAGCGAACGCGGCGAGTCAAGCCGGAAGCGGTGCTTGGTCCTCCAGCGGTGCATCAGCTTATGCGGCAAGCAGCGCTAACAGTAAGTTTTGCAAATCAAAGTTTATACGTATCGATATATATATATATATATAACATATAATTATATATCAATTTATATATAATTATATTTATATATTTATTATTATATATAAATAATCAGAGAATAATCGTATATTTTAATCGTATATTTACTCGTATATTAAAAAAAAATAATCGTATATTGAAATAATATTTCAGGCTGGGCAGGTTCGCAACCGAGTTTCGTCAAAGGCTAACCTATGAATTCGCCGAATTACGAGAACAATTTTTTTCACTTTGCTTCGTTTGTACATCTATTTGTAATTTATTTTATTTACTCGTCGCTTACGATACAATCAAATCGATGTACGAAAACGATTACTGTCTTTTTTTACACCTGATCCTACACGCGCGGCTTGATAATTAATCGATAATTAATGCCAATTCTTCGAAGCGACTGTATTGTTATATGGAGATTGCGATCGACCGATGTCTAACGGATAATGACATACATGATTGATGAATCGGATGTATTGTTAAGTAACAATTTAACAGTTACGATAATATGTCGCTATTAACCACTTGCGCTGGTAACTGATTGCGGACCATAACGAGTGACCGAACCGTATACAATAAAATCGTCGCTTTCTTTTTGAACTCGTCGGTATGACATCACTGGATACAAATTATTGAGAAGTAATAAATTTGTTACTTGTTTTGCCTTGGTTATATTTAAATATAAAACTGAGAAAGTATTGCAATTTTGGAACAAAAAATTCTCGACGTAAGAGGTTAACCACTAGTACTGTAAACTGACTGCGGACCATAACGAGTGACCAAACCGTACACAATAATTCGTCGCTTTCTTTTTGAACACGTCGGTACATCACAAGATAGAAATTATTGAGAAGTAATAAATTTATTATTTGTTCTGCCTAGGTTATACCTAAATACACTTGAAACTGAGAAACTATTGCAATTTTGGAGCAAAAAATTCTCGACGTGTGGCACGTTATTTCAGCGCAAGAAGTTAACCACTTGTACTGGAAACTGACTGCGGACCATAACGAGTGATCAAACCGTACACAATAAATCATCGCTTTCTTTTTGTACTTATCGATATAATATCACTGTAGATAAATAGAAATTATTAAGAAGTAATAAATTAATCACTTGTTTTGTCTGGATTATATTGAAATCTGAACTTAAAACTGAGAGAATATTGCAGTTTCTCGGACAAAAAATTCTCGACGTGCGTGGCACGTCATTCCAGCGCAAGAGGTTAACCACTTGCACTGGCAACTGACTGCGGACTATAACGAGCGACTAAACCGTATACAATAAATCGTCGTTTTCTTTTTAAATTCGTCGATATCACTGTAGATAGATAGAAATTATTAAGAAGTAATAAGTTTATTAATTGTTTTGCCTTGGGTATATTTAAATATACTTAAAATTGATTTTGGGACAAAAAATTCTCAACGTGCGTGACACGTCATTCCAGCGCAAGAGGTTAACCACTTGTACTGGCAACTGACTGCGGACCATAACGAGTGACCAAGCCGTATACAATAACACGTCGCTTCTTTTTTGAACTCGTCGGTATGACATCACTGTAGATAGATAGAAATTATTACGAAATAATAAATTTATTACTTTTTTTGCCTGGGTTATACATAAATATACTTAAAACTGAGAAAATACTTGGAATTTTGGGACAAAAAATTCTCGACGTGCGTAGCACATCATTTCAGCGCAAGAGGTTAGGTAACGAAAAGATTAAAAGATAAAAAAATTCAAGATTACCATAGTAGATCAATAAAATATATTAATATAATGGATCAATAAAAAGATTATGTTCGACGACAATTGGTCACATGACAGGATCAGCTTTGAAATTCAAAACAATTACAAGATAAATTCCAATGGGCTGTAGCAAAGAAGCAAGAAGTATGCCGTGAAAGAAGTGATTCAACAATAATGTATCGCTGTTAAGTATGAAATAATCAATAAAAAAATTATCTTTGTCGACATTGGTCAAATGACAAGATCAGTTTAGTCATCAGCGTTCAAATTTGAAACAATTATAAAACAAATGGTGGTCTATAGCAATGAAGCAAAAATTACACTGCAAAGAAACGACAAATTTTTAAATATCACCGACATGAGATGAAGTTTAACGAACAGTTAGTTCACGTTCGAACGAATTGTATAACAGCATCTTAGAGCGATAAACGTGGCTTCACTTATGAATTTAAACGTCACGTCATATATATGTATATAGAAATAGCACTTGTGTCATCGATGTACAGCCAAAGATAGAGCGGTTTGTGTGTTAATTTGTGAATTATTCATAACATCACATCGATTGTGAGAGAATCTGAGATCCCCGTTGTATCCAACAGCTTTGGAATGATAATTTTATCGATTGTGTCATATAAAATATACGATGCATTATATTATTAACGATAAGAAATCACGTGAATTATACATTCGATTACATAAGTTTTATTCTTGTAGTTCGGAACAACCGAAAGAAAAAAAAATTAATACGCAGGGAAGTCGAGAATGGAATAAATTTTAATAAATAATGGAATAATCTTTTAATAATTTAAAAGAAGAAAAAACATTCCTCTCTCTTGGCTTTATCGCCGAGAGAAGATATGCACGTACGCGTGGAAAAATCACTGTTGGAGGATATATCGAGTAACATTTCATAGACGCAAATAAATAGGAATGATTCGTTTATTCGAACTGCACAGATTACGTAATGTTCAAAGTCGTAAGAGACTCGCTCGCGCGTTTTATTCATTCGTGAATACAACAAATGTTAAGAACAACGGTCCATGAATTTCGGGCAAGTCTCCGATGAGTCGTGCAAATTCTTTTACGTCCGATCACAGATCAAACTTCAGCTGGTCCTCTTATCGTGTTAGCGAGGACTTGAATAATATTCCCCCCTCGACGAGATCGTCTAAACCACTTTTCCAGCCGATACTTTGTACGTTCCTTTTCCAGAAGAGTCGAGACTGGCTCCGCTGCTGCTGTAGACACCTTTGGCCTTATCCACGGTGCCGCTCTTACTCACTCCCTCGTCGATGTCGCCCGAGCGGGAGAAGATACTAATTTCGACAACAAAAAATTGAATTAATGTCTCCTTCGAATCATCAGTCAAATAATTTACAATACGCTCAGTCGAACGTGTCGAAAATAAAAAAGAAAAAGTAGAAACTCAATATAGCTCGAGGCTTTCCGACAATCACGAGTTGGCGAGTTTCTTTTATCTTTTAAGAAAAATTACTTGAGCCTATTTATTAGCGATTAGGTGATTCAACCTACTCGTATCCGTGCCCACCGGGACCACCGAGACCGCCGAGACCGCCGAATCCTCCTCCAGGACCTCCGGAGCCAGCGTTTGCGTTTGCACTAGCAGATGCATACGCATTTGAACCAGCAAGAGCGTTAGCGTTAGCGCTAGCGCTGGCGCTTGCGAAAGCATTGGCGTTGGCGTTGGCGCTGGCGCTGGAGCTAGCGCCTGATCCTCCGTAACCACCGTAACCACCTTTGCCATCTGCTCCTCCGCTACCTAATCCACCAGCTCCACCTCCAGCTCCTGCTCCACCGTATCCACCAGCGCCACCTCCAGCTCCTGCTCCACCGTGTCCACCAGCGCCACCTCCAGCTCCTGCACCTCCGTATCCACTAGCGCCACCTCCAGCTCCTCCGAATCCACCAGCTCCAGCTTTGCCACCTGCGCTACCGTATCCACCAGCTCCACCTCCAGCTCCTGCACCTCCATATCCACCAGCTCCTGCTCCGCCGTATCCACCAGCACCACCTCCAGCTCCTCCGAATCCACCAGCTCCAGCTTTGCCACCTGCGCTACCGTATCCACCAGCTCCACCTCCGGCTCCTGCTCCACCATATCCACCTGCCCCGGCACCACCACCCGCGCCGCCGTATCCACCAGCTCCTGCTCCTCCGAATCCACCAGCTCCAGCTTTGCTACCTGCACCGCCGTATCCACCAGCTCCAGCTCCACTACCTGCACCACCGTATCCACCAGCTCCACCTCCGGCACCAGCTCCACCGTATCCACCAGCTCCACCTCCGGCACCAGCTCCACCGTATCCACCAGCTCCACCTCCGGCACCAGCTCCACCGTATCCACCAGCTCCACCTCCGGCACCAGCTCCACCGTATCCACCAGCTCCACCTCCGGCACCAGCTCCACCGTATCCACCAGCTCCACCTCCGGCACCAGCTCCACCGTATCCACCAGGTCCACCTCCGGCACCAGGTGCACCGTGGCCACCAGGTCCAACGCCCACACCACCATATCCACCAGCACCACTGCTAGCGCCGGTTTTTATTACTGCAGCGGATCCTGACAATAATTTTAATTACAAAGCAACAGTCACATAATTCGAAGCAGCTGGTATTTATATAAAAATGCAATCAATCTTGTACAAAGTCAACTCACCCGCATGACTTCCAGCACTGGATCCTCCGTACCCTCCGGCTCCGGAGCCGCCACCTGCTCCAGGACCACCGAATCCTCCGGGCCCGCCACCTCCAGGACCACCACAACTTCCACCGCGACAACCACCTGCTCCTGGACCACCGAATCCTCCGGGCCCGCCAGCTCCAGGACCTCCACAACTTCCACCGTGACAACCACCTGCTCCCGGGCCACCGAATCCTCCAGCACCTCCGCCAGCTCCTGAACCACCGTATCCTCCAGCACCTCCGCCAGCTCCTGAACCACCGTATCCTCCAGCACCTCCGCCAGCTCCTGAACCACCGAATCCTCCAGCACCTCCGCCAGCTCCTGAACCACCGAATCCTCCAGCACCTCCGCCAGATCCTAAGCCTCCACCATATCCTCCAGGACCGCCACTTCCAGGGCGTCCGCAACTTCCCGTTTGACAACCACCTCCTCCCGAACCAGCGTGTCCGCCAGCACCAGATCCTGAACCACCATATCCTCCAGGACCGCCGCCACCTCCGCAACCGCCAGTCTGACAGCCGGCTCCTCCCTTAGAACCGCCACCACCGAAACCGCCACCGCTACCAAATCCTCCGCCACTGCCAAATCCGCCGCCACCACCTCCGCCGCCGCCGCCGCCACCGCCGCCGAATCCTCCGCCAAATCCTCCGCCAAATCCACCTCCCAATCCACCTCCCAATCCACCGAGGCCAGCGAGAGATTTCACGAAATTACTCCCGTCGTAGGATCCATGGGGATTACGTTTCGATCTGGCCTCTGCGGCTAAACAGACGGATTATTATTTGATTTGCTGAACCTAAATGCAATGAATAATAAATAAATAATAAATAATAATAATAATAATAATAATATTACTATTAATATTAATAAATAATAATAATAAATAAATAATAAATAATAATATTAATATTAATATTAATAAATAATAATAAATAAATAATAAATAATAATAATATTAATAAATAATAATAATAATAATATTAATAAATAATAATAATAAATAAATAAATAATAATAATAAATAAGACCAAAGAAGTGTGAAATTCGGCAGTGATTGGCGATTACTTTTAATTCTTCGTGTTTCCAATTTTTTTTGGGGGGGGGGGGGGGAGGGTGGAGATAGAAGTTAGACGAAGATTGGACTTGCAACTGGAGAGAGGAGTAATATTTAATGGATAAATAGAACGTACCTTGTGCGTGAACGCAGAGGAGCGCCAGCAAGGCGAAAATGCCGATGGCTCGATATCTCGGCATGATGTCCGATCGATTCTTCTATCCCGATCGTTTGCAAAACGCTGATCTTTATATCGTTCCTCCCACTCCTCATTTCCCGCGATTCTTCCTGCCGCTTCTTCGAACGCAGTTCCAAGCGTTGAAACGGTTCAACGAGAGCAAAGGAAAAAAAAAAGAACGAGTGCTGTCTTCGAAATCCTCGTCCAATCACGTTATATTACATTATACCATGTGTTTTACTTTCTTTTTTTTTTTTTTTCTTTTTTCCTCGTTATCCAAGTTTCACGAAAATTTAATTCATTTGTCAGCTGTGACATTGTTCATCTCGGGAACAACAGTGTCTGTTTGTTCGACACTGGAAATCAAACAAAAATTCGAAGGATACTTGTTTTCAAGCATTCGTCTTCCGCATCGTCGTCGTGAAAAATCCTTGACGCCACGCACGAGATCCTTACGCACGTTCTCGCGTACGGAGATCGAGACGGAGCAAAATGATGGCGTTACGTCATTGGAAATTTCACTCGGCTGTGCAAATGGCAATGTCAATAGCTATTACCAGCAGGCTGGCACCATCGAATAAAAATGAAAATCGTTGCCGTGATTGATCAATCAATAAACAAACGGCATCGAGCTTCGATAAAATTTTGCACGCGCGAACAGAAACGCTGATAACCTCGTTTAAACCGTTTGACCTAAACTTAATAACAGCGTCTATCGACTGTACACGGCGTGGCAACGGCTATAGACATATCGTGCAACTTCCTTCGCGTTTTTGCCAACAGCAGGCAAAACGATAGTTAGAATTCGCGGAAACGCGGCTCTCTAAAAGGATCGCGATTTTTATCGTTCACGCTCGCATCTACAAGGACAGCTTGCCCGACTCGCAATTCTCACGAGCTGAAGACTCGTTTGACCGGACTGCCATTATGATATATAATATGCAGAGGATTTATCATCCATCGTTGATCGATGGTACCGAGATCAATGATACCGGGGAAACGATTAACGGATATCGCGCTCGATCGTTTGGAATTTTTGCTATGGGTATTCCCAACGTCTCACGATTGAGAAACCTTTTTTTGTTCTCTCGGGGCCTGCGTGCAAAACTAGCGGCACACGACAGACACGTACAGATGTACAGGGTGAAAAGAAAAATAATTATTTAGAAAAGGGGGGAGGAGAGGTCTCAACGATTTCGACGATTTTTGAACAACTTTGTTCTATACCAATGACTCAGACCCACGCGTTGATTTTTATAAACTTGTCATCATATGTATAAAAGAATTTTAATTATTTTTCGAAAAATGCTAAGAAAATTACAAGTGTTTGGTTAGAGCTTGAAAAGTGAGAAATAAATGCACAATTGTGTTTTATGGAGGATTTACGACTTGGTTATGTATACATATAGGTAATTTCAAGTCTTTAATGTTATACGAGTTAGTTGTGTCGAAAAAATTTTATACAGCGCTTACGATTAAACAGATGTAATAAACACTGAAAAACACACTAGATCCCATTCTCAGAATGGGTAGCTTTGCTAGTTTTTTATATAATAAAAGAGAGAACAGACAATAAAAAAATATTAGGAAATAAAGTATATATATATATATATATCTAATGTATAGTGCAGGGGTGACTGGGCATGATGTCACCCCTTTTGTATCAATTTTTTGACGTCGACATTTATTTTTTGCTCCTTACTTGCAAAAGTAAACGTTGTGAAACAAAAAAGGAAACGTAAACTTTTTAGAGGATTATAAAAGTGAAGACCAAAAAAAAAGTAGTTTTTAACTATCCTCCCATCCCCCTTTTCCAAGTGACGCCACTGACTTAGTGACCCATGAGCTGGTACTAAAAAAAACAATGAACAAAATTTGACCTACTTCTCAAAGAGGTTCGCCGTCACTGTCCTATACGTACAACCGCCTTAGCTTGGCCTTAGTTTCCGAGATTTTTGCAAAAAACTATTGCTACTACTACTACAGTGAATATTGCCTGTCGCCACGTGTCTGTGAGCATCGAGTCGCCAACTGTTTATGGTTTTTACAAGTACATCGAGCAATGGACATGTATAACGGGTGTACTTGAAAACTCGATTTGAATAGCCGGCCGCTATACAGTGATGGGAGCTGCTTGTTTAGTGACACCTGCTGACACCTGATCGCACTAACGCACGAACACCAAGTGGCTAACACGTGTCCGCCAAAGTGCCAAAGTGACAAAGACTGAAGAGAAAGGAATCAGTTTCTGGCAACGCTCTGAGGAGAAAAGACGTGTGCAGCAAATCGAAGCAATTATTATTTTTGTTCTTTTTATTACTTTTTTCCGTTGTTTCCATTTGTTTCCATTTGTTGACGCAATGTCCTCATTGGCCAACGAGCAATATTTCTTCGTCTTCTCTCGCTCAATATGCACAAGACAGTTCCTGACAGTGAACAATCGTCAGACAACAAAAGTGTATCAAATAGTGACGCTGAACCCCAAACGCAAGATTCCGAAGTCGAAATGCAAGAAGACAATATATCAGAAACTGTGGATAATGTAGTTCCAGAAAACCAAGAATTTGGACGTAATTGGCAACGTGTTGGACCTAGCAAGGATACAGCGATTGTCTCTCGTCAATGTATAAATATAAATAAATATAACTTTATTATTCATGTGATTGTTATTTGTTCCTATATGCTCCTACATGTTCCTATACGAGTCAGGTGTCTGTCACTGTTTGGTACAATATCGGTGAGGAGTTACCGTCACTCTGTGTTAGTACAATATCGGTGAGCCACTCGGACGATCTAAATATGTGTTAGTGGAATATTCGTGTGGGTCAGACATAACTCCGGCACAGGGCTGCATGTTTCAGTAGTCGGAGGGTTAAACCCAAACTATTCTACCTGGCAACTAATTCAATGGATTAGGTTCGAGTAAAGATTACTCAAGTTTTTAAGTACACCCGTTATACGCGTCCATTGCCAGCCATCTCGATGTATCTATAGAAACTATAAACAATCGGCGAGTCAACGCTTATACACACGCTCCTATAGGCACGTAGCTATGGGCAATATTTATTGCAATAGCAACAATAGTTTTTTGCAAAAATCTCGCAAACCAAGGCCGAGCGACGGTTATATGTATAGGAAAAAGTTGTTCAAAATTTTCATCCTGATAACATATTTAAATTTCATCAAAATCGGTGATGTATATCCTTTTATGCACAACTACCAAAAGTTTTTCCGTGGCTGCACCTTGTGAAGAGCCTATCGCAAAATTGATCTTGACCTTGAATTTCAAAGTCAACATTTTTGTATCATATTCTACTCGTCATGAAGGTAAAACTTTTCCAAAGGGTCATAGATCGCGGTCTAATGGTTCTCTTGAAAAATGGTAGAAAAGTTTCTTGATCATTTAACACTGCGGACGCGTACTAACAGCGACTTTATGATTCTGGATAAGGTTTCACCAACATTTGATTTATCATAGTTGTGGCATCGGTGCGAGTCTAAATAATCAAGTGATAAGAACGACAACTGTTAACATTATTCGAAACATAAACATTGCATCTGCCCGTTCAGAGCCATAAAGTCGCTGTTAGGACGCATGCGTACGCAAAATGATTAAGAAATATTTCTGTCATTTTTCAAGAGAACTACGGGGTTCCTTAGAAAAGTTTTACCTTCGCGATGAGTAGAGTACAGTGCAAGAAAAAAAGAAATTTTTTGACCTTAAAATCCAAGGTGAAAATGAATATGTTAACGATCTTACAATTTCGAACTGCAAGTTTCACTGTAACGTTTTAAAAGTAATTTTAAAAGTAATAATGTACGTTTATTGCGTAATATCAGTACATAATGTTACATAACAACTTATTTTGTGACCAACGTACCGAAATTGAAAACAATGCGGTTCCTTCCGAGATAAACGTACAAATTTGGAAGTTAAGAAACGATACCCCCGTACGAGCATTTGGGAAATTTGCTAAAGATAACAATAATATACCTGTCAAATAGATACAGAGATATCTAATCGGCTTACGAATACGATTCTTCGAGTACAAAACTAATTTTTTTTCCCCTCTCTCTCTCTCTCTCTCTCTCTCTCTCTCTCTCTTTCTATGTATATATAATATATATGTATGTATGTATGTACTTATCTATATATATTTATATATATATATATATATATAAATTAAATTCTATATTATAACAAAACAATAGTAGCAACGAAAAAAAAAACATAACCATTAAGTTACGGGATTTCTCTTTTTTTTTTTTATTTATAGATGAGTCGTTCGCACGTGGATATGTTTATTATTGCATAGACTCTTCCCTCTTCAGAATCTTCGGGATTCTCAATTTATTCAAGAGGAAAGAAATTGTTTCGAACACGAGACACGCATAAAATTCGTATACTCCTCGTCAACAAGTTAGCATAGCCAGTCTTTATACAATTGAATCGTGCATTATTTGAAAGTAACTACGATAATAATACGTAGCAAAATATAATAATTGTGAAATTATGAAATTCTTAATACAATAGCGAGAAGTAGCTTCTCCAATATATCTTATTAATATTAATTTAATAACAAAGAAAAAAAATCTCTAGAACGTTAACAAAATTATTGTCTTTTTTTTTTTTAAATATGAATGACTAAGGAAATCCTACTTTAAAATTGGTCCAAGGTTCACGCTAATGCGTCTGTACATTTTTTTTCTAACCATCGATGTCATAGTTTCCTCGTTTCAATGAAGGACAACAGATTCTTATCAATAACTCAAATACGTATAGATTCGTATACCAGATTCATTATATAAATTCCGAACTGCGATCCGCTTACATCTAAATAATCCTATTTACATTCCAACTATCACTCTTGTCCGAGTATTCTTTCCAAATGCGCGTCAATTGTTAAAGTACAAGGAAAATGATAAGAACACGACGTGTTCCAACATCAAAGTTCCTTTGGATAATCGCATTTGGAGATTAACAAAACATAAGCATCTCGTCTACGTGACACATTACGCTTCGACTAATTCTTCCGTCGTATCTTCGTCTTTACATAGTCTTTACATTTACCTTTGATTCTTTTTGATTTGATTGTCGATTACAATTCCAATCGCACGAATTTGATTTCAGTCCTGGGAGTAAGGCCGCAAAGTTTTAACAACGTATCCCGTCTTCCCCTGGAGATGCGTCGAGATGTCTCCATCGATTTTAACGTAACACGTATCGTGAGATGAAACAATGCTGCATACGGCGTTGTTGTTCTCTTACATCGTTTCAATATTGTATAACATACGTGTGTTAATATCCTTCGTTTTTATTGTATTCTATAAAATACGTGTGTTAATATCCTTCTTTTCCATTGAAGTTTGACAGGTAGCTTTGCTGTGTCGCGCTTTGAATTACTTCCACCCACCTGGAAACCGTTCGAGTTCGATTAGGTCAAAAATTTCAGGTGATAAATTCCCAATTTCGTGCTCTTTTCTCACCGTCCAAACGTGTAGTCGCTCTCAGCGCGGAAGAAGTACACGTGACTTTTAAATTGCAACTTGAAGACGAAATCCTTGTTGATACCATCCTTCTCCGTCGGGGTGGTCACAGTGTACCCCAACAACGGCAAGCTAGCCAATGGGAAGTCGTCTCGGTGCGATTTGTAAAAGAACAAGCAAAAGTTGGTAAAGACGACCCAGAGCTTCTGCCAACCGTTGCTATTCTTGAATTTCCGCAACAGAAATCCACTAAGCTGGTTCTAAAACGCAATAAAATGTAAATACGTGTCGCTTTCTACGTCGTTGTTCTTTCATTTCCTCGATACAGCAATGATTCCTCACTCACTTGAAACGCTCGCAACTGATCGGCGTAACTTATGCTCGTGTTTCGATGCCAACAAACGTGCACGGTCGTGTTGCTTCGTTGAGAAGCTTTGGCACCCCCGCAGCTTGCTCGGTCTGCGTCTAACCCGAGGCCCTCGCCCATTTCATCGGCCGAACCTACAAAAGTATCGTCGCGTTACAATTTTTGCTGGACGATCCATTGAAGATCCATCCAGTGCATCAAGCAAGTGCAAACACTTACTGCAAGATTTCAAATTCAAGTAGGGCATTTTTGGATCAGCGTCGGCCTGCGCGATAGCCATGTTCAAATCTTCCAACCATCTCTCCTTTTCTTTTTCGTTGCTAGCCGCCACTGTCAAAGACCTGCATGAACCGTCGACTTCAATGTACATTGATATTCGTTTCTTTCTTTCTTTTTTTCTTTAATTGTGTCACAATTGTGTATAAAAAAGAATGAGAGAGAAGAAAATGAGCGGTAATAACGGTGAATAGGAGCGGCGAATTATTTCGATGAATAAATATAATGGCCAACGAAATGTTCACTGATGCGTCTCTGGCACATTTACATCGGTAGAATAGCACGCTCAAGTGAAGCCTGTAGAGTCAATTGACCTCTTAATGACTGCAGAGACCTCGTCCTTTTAACACCTCGTTACGTTCAATAATTTACTTAAACGGGACAACACTCTATTCGCGAGATACTCACTGATTTCCTTGGGCGTCGATCACGAACGCAAAGTCCGATCCAGTTTTGTTGTCGCTCTCTCGAATCTTCATTCCTTTTAACGAAAGTTGGCCGTGAACGCGAAAACATTGAGTTGGCTGTTGAGTACGGAATGTGTACAATAATATGTCGGAAAACTGAAAAAGAAAAGAAAATAAAAAAATAAAAGAATGGGATTTATTTAGTTGGGATACATGTGCGTAAACTCACCAAGAAGAACATTCTTTGCTGGAAACCTTTACGACTGTACTTTTGCAAGCAACCTTGTCTGACGAATCTACGACCGTCTTGGACCAAATTGTCAAAACCATTGATGTCTCTTTGCATTTCGCAAAGCTGAACCAGATTTTCCTACACGTACAACAATCACACAAGCGTCAAAATATATCAAAGTGTACAATTCTTGGCTAAATGAAGCTAATATTATTATTAGCAGATACTTACCGCTTGATTAATTATACTAAGGCCTTCGAGCAACGTTTCTCCTAGTCGATCTCTTGCCGCTAGGCAATCTTCGAAATCCGTATGATCTTTCGGATAGTGGTCTAATAACCCTAAAAAATTGAATCATTGTGAGGCAGGCATAACAGTGTATATACAGCGAAGAGTATAATTGTACCAGTAACAATGAAAAATTGTCGATAATTTAAACTGATATAATTTAAAAATGATCATATGACAATTCATTTGGTTTCATTTCAAAACGTGAAGCCTCTATTTTAATAATCTAACATAATTCAGTTTGTTTTTTTTTGAAGATGTTTTTACATCATACAGCAGATAGATTGATGGCAAAGATACTTTTGTTCTAGAAAATTGTAAAAATTCAAACATACGTTGCAACATGTAAACTTAAAAAAAATTTGTTCGTAACTAGATCCATCATCATTTTCAAGTCTCATTCTATTAAACATTGAATATTAGGATTCAACATTTCATCATCTAAATGAACCCTAATGTTCAATGAAATGGTGTCCAAAAGAATATCAAAAAAGTTCAAAAACATCATACGAGTTTTAAGAGGTCATTGTAAATGAACCTCCAAGATTATGGTGAATCTCGTTACCAAGGAACATTTTTAATGATCTTACAGACGTCTGAATTTTTACAATTTTCGAAAAAAGAGGTATCTTCATTTTTACACGATGTAAAATCATCATCAAAAATAATTAACCTACTAGCAAAGTCAAAGCAAACTGAGATCAAGTGAATTGTCACATGATCTTTTTTTTTTTTTTTTTTTTTAGGAAGTTGTATGAATTTTTCATTGTCTGTTATATATGCTCTTCATTGTATATGTATGTAAGAAACGATCGACGTACTATCGATAATACTGTTGTAGTGCAACAACCGTTGCAACGGTTTCAAAAGGAACGAGGTTAGCGGTAGATAACAATGCTTCTGTGCCTCGAAGTCCCGGCACAGCTGGTCAAAACGACGTGACGTCCTCGTGTAATATTCCATCTTCTCGAGGACGGGTATTAGATTCTCGAGATATTGATCGTAAAGCGGCAGCACGTTCAACAAGGTGTTGTAAAGAAAATCACCGATGTTGTGCCGCGCGTTGCTCTCCCAACGTTCCAATCTTGCCTCCATTTCTTGAAGGCAGGGCCCGTGAACGTCCGCTAAAAGCTCGATCAGCGAAACAACCGCTTCACCCTCTAATTCAGCCTCTCGAGATACCTCCTCTCGGAACCACTGTCGAGCAAAAATAGAACATGGCGATTATCGCTGCCGACGTCTTTCTCACTTTCGCGTAACACAGATACATCGTAGCTACACCTGAGAAATCTCAATTCGACACGAACCAAAAGTCACTAATTGCAACACTAGAACTACGATAGTCAAAATGACTAATTTATAATTTCTGTTGAAAATTTTGTAGACGGAGCATTTTTAGAGATTTAAATCATTTTTCGTAAAAAAAAAATATATATATATATGTATATGAAAGCTTGTGCAAGCTATTGTTAAGCCATAAAGCCATAAAGTTTCTCTATTTTTTCACTTTAATGCCGTGGTTCTCAACGTGGGGCCCCATTCAAGAATAAGTTATTAACAGTGAATATTTTTTGCATTTCACTTTAAGACGAGTTCTCAAACTATACTTTGAATTTGTTGGATACTTTGTTTTATAATAATTTAAATTTTATAATAATTTAAATAATCGAAATGTGAAAGAAAAAGCTTTCATATTAAAATTACTTTGTATTTGTGCACTTCAGTTCTATTTTGTACGTTTTAAAAACTTTACTTGTTGTTCATCGTGTCACTTTACTTTATTATCTCTTTAACAATTTCTTAGTGACTTCTCCAAGGTACTTCAACTGTTCTTTTATTTTTTTCTTTCATAGATGTCACGTTCTTCGGAAGCTTTTTTAGACCAAGTTAATTTAGACTCTTTAAGCTTCCCCCACGTCAAAAATCCACCTTTTGAATAATAAAAATTGTGTAAAAGAGGTGAGAAGGGCATCAGGATTTTAGACATGCTCAGGGATGACGCCAAAAAAGATTGGGAAACACTGCTTTAACGTCTCCGATGGAAATTTTATGCTTCAGCGGTTGGTAGTTTGTGTTAAATCTGGCGTAAATTTCAGTAGTTCGCAACGAATGCTCGAAATTCTCGAAATGCTTGAAATACGTATGTACGTACCACGTTTATCACGTCGAGATCCTTCTTGTAGGTCCGCTCGGTCATAAGAAGTTCCTTCGCTATGTAATACGCCTTGTCAGTCGGCCATCTCTGTTTATTGAGAAGAAAATCACGCGTTAAAACTCACCCATTTTTTTTTTTTTTTTTTTTCTTTTTTTTTTTTTTTTTTTTTTTTTTGGAGTGTAAAAATGTGTAATAGTGCAAGAAATATTTTTTAAACGCCAGCTCACTTTCGTTTTCCGAACTTCGGTATCTTCTACCTCGCCGTTTCGTATGTTCTTTACGGGGCTTAGGTCCGGTGTGTTGGCCATGCTCGCGTTGCTGGTATCCATCGTACCATTGGTACGTTTCTCAGGCGAAGACTTTTCGTTGGCGAACACGGAATTATTATTCTCCTGTTTCTTTGACTTTTCCTGTCTATCTACCTCGGTATCTGTAAACGGAAGGCAAGTAAGAGAACGGAATTCTCGGATCGACCTGCGCCACAAAGAACGAAGAAAATTTGCGGTCAAATAAATGAGATATACAATGAGAAATAAACGCTCGTGGGGAAGGGGGAACAAAAAAAAAAAGGTATGAACTCGAGCCTCATGCTACTGTGCATAACATAGTTGTGATATCAGTCTCTTTTGACTTTTAGCCGCGGCGATTCTCATGTTCCATAGTTCACGGTAGGATTTGCAACAGAGAACAGACGAAAAGAAGAGACAGAAAAAAAATAAAGAGAGAACGAGAGAAAAGGCGAGCAAGGATCTCGGAAGAGTCTGATCATTCCTTCTAATCGGTCATTTTTCGTTTCTGAAAGTTGTCGCGGCTTGAAAGCGGCGTTCGCTTTAAAATTTAAAACGATCCAATTTGAGATTTTCGACATTTTACTGAAATTCAAGAATACATGTACGTACAGGGTGGAAAGAAATGTTTGTCCGTGACCATCATAGATGAATTCTACACTTTTGACTTGACGGGAATGTATGTAGAGCCTTCCGCAAAATTGATCTAAACCTTAAATTTCAGGGTCAAAAATTTTTTCTTTTTTTTTAAATTGCATTTACGAAGGTAAAACTTTTTCAAGAAACCATAGATCGTGACCTAATAGTTCTCTTGAAAAGTGGTTTCTTAATTATTTAACACTGCGGACGCGTGGGTTCTAACAGCGACTTTATAGTTCTGAATGCGTAGATGTAACGTTTATATTTCGAGTAGTTTTATTATTTGATTATTTGGACTCAAACTGATACTGTAGCTATAATAAATCAAATGTTAGTGAAACCGAATTGTAAAGTCGCTGTTAGAACGCAGGCGTCCACAATATTAAATAATTAAAAAACGTTTTTATCATTTTTCAAAAGGACTATTAAGTTCCTTGGTAAGGGTTTTATTTTCGCGATGAATAGAATAGAATGTCAAAAAAGAAAAAAAATTTTTGACCTTGAAATTCAATTTTGTGAACAGAAATCGTTTTTCCATCAAATCGAGAGTGTAGAATTCATGTATGACAGCCAAGGACAACATTTTTCTTTTGCACCCTGTACGTACGTACGTAGTTATCATCAAGTACCTAAGATTCAACCAGAGAATCAAATTCAATCAAACCGCGAGAACTTTTGAAATGACCAACTATCACACAAACACGTAAGTAGATACGTACATACACATCTCGTGCAGGGGGAAGAAAGAGCTTTCGAAAAGAACGTACGTTGGTTCTTCTCGGTCGATTCTAATCGTTATTAATCTACGAGTTGCGAGTGTCACAATTGCAGATCTAATACTGTCTGAAATGCATTCAGCCAACAGTCTAGAAAATATATACACAACTCAGGAAAACAATACGTCCCCAATACACATCCAAACATTCGTGGCCGGAACAAATGAACGAGCAACGAACTAAGAACGTTAATAAACGAACAAAGGAGAGACTCAACATGACGTTCGAACAACATGCAAAAGTCCTACAAAGTTGTGCAAGAGCTCTACGTCGCAACGACAGCGTGTTTCGAGGCAACTAAAAATCACTGTCATTCAATGTGGCATTCGCTGAACGACGAAGCCATTCCAGTTACAAGAGACCATTCCAAAGAATGTGTAAAGTGTGGATTTAAACGCGCATCGAAGATGCGTGCCCGGGACGCTACGAACATAACAAGAAAACAAAGAAAGAAAACGTTGTGCCGCTACCGAGCAAACGAGCAAATCCTCGAAACAACAAAGAACTGCAAAGAATAGCAAAGAAGTACATATCGCTGACAGTAAACATAAGGCACTGTTAGGGATTACTCACACATGGTATATTGTCATCCGGTCGACCAACGAATCCGGGAGTGCGATAAAAAGATACGGTAATGAAGAACGGAAAGAGGACGACACGGGGCACGGGACTGGGGAAATATTTCCAATAATAATAATAATAATAATAACAATACTGATAATAATAATAATAATAACAATAATAACACTATCATGTTTCATTGAAGAGAAAAGGAGTTAGAAAAACAGAGAAAGAGAGAGAAAGAGAGAGAGAGAGAAACAGGACAGCATTTGGAGGAGGGACTAGAAAGAAAGGAACAAACCTAATCCTAATAACAAAATAACAAAAGTCGAGAAAAACTTGGGCAGGGGGGGATGGAGGGTTTTTTTTGAAGAAACTGAAACTGAAAATCCAAGTCCAAGAAAGTACGGAAGAAAAAACGGAATCACAGAAGACCTCTGGCTATGTGACTTTGTATATAATTTATTATTGTTATAATTCATGTATCAATAATCAATGTACAATAGAGATTTCCTACGCTTGAAATGTTATTTTTTTTTCCTTCCCCCGTCGGACGCCGTGATTCCCCTTTCTTTTTTTCTTTTTCATTTTTTTTTCCTCTTTTTTCATTTTTTTTAACGCTTAAGAGCTACCTATCCTTTCCTACCCTCCTCTTCACTCTTTCAACCATAAATTTCGGTTTCTCAGGGGAAAATCACCACGTATTATCGGACCGTATCCGCGCGTGTATGTGTATATTCTCTGTGTACGTGTGTGTGTGTGTGTGTATGCGCATTTTTCGCGTACTTGCATTTGTCCCACGCGTGCATACGTGTTACTGTACGTGTGTATGTGTGTACGTGTGTAGAAAGAGAGAGTTAACAAGTACGGTACGTTGATAAACGAATGGAAAAAAGGTACAAATTACAAATTGAGGAGGAGCGCCGACACGACGGACACGCGTTATATCTTTCTTGGTATAGTTGTGAGCAACCCTCGCTTTCTCTCTTTCGTCATCTTATGATCGATCGTTCGTTTGACCCGCTTCTGGAAAATCTACGATTATTCGTCGGGGAAAAAAGTGAAAAAGAATCGACAAAGATTCAACGCAGAGACAAAGCGTAAGAATCGAAAAGTCACGTTGCACGGAAATTCATCTAAACCCGTGGTTCCCAACGTGGGGCCTACACCCCACAGGGGATTACAATCTGATTCTGAATGAAAATTTAACCTTTTAATTTTCTTCTTTTCATGGATGAAAACGTTTTTTTGGAAGCTCTTTTACACCAAGCTGATGGTCTTTTAGTCTTCCATCACGTAAAAAATTCACTTTTTGAATAATAGGAATTTACGTGACACAGATAGTGGGGCATGGCCAGAAAAAGGGTTGGGAACCACTGATCTATATATCTGTATAATGGTCGAAGGTACGTATGTTTGTTCTACGTCCTCTCTAGAGTCCGCCAAGTGTAACACGTATAAAAAGTTTATAAAAGGGTAGCCGATTAAGTTCGCTACGTTTGTAACTTGTTTCTTTTTTTTTTTTTTTTTTTTTTCGTGGAAGACGAGGATTTCCGTCGATACCGTGGAAAAATCAAACGTACCGGTTTTTTCACCGAACGAAACGGATCCTTTAAGCCGCGTTCGCAAAAAATTTCGCACGAAATCGACGCGGAATGTGACAGTTTTAAGAACGTTTGAAAGAGTATCGTAATACTTCGATCGCAAAACACCGACGATGGCGAAAAAGACACTAGTGGAAAAGAACGAGAGACGTGTAATGTAATCGGTAGTTTTTTCACTCGATCGAGAGCAAACGAGTGCTTTGGGTCGTAGAGATGGCACGAAGGAAACGATTTTCTACTCTCGTCGCGACGCATTTACTCGTCGAACTACGAGCCCGTGTGTCGCGACCATAAAGGGCACATACTACATCGAACACGCAACAACGTAAGGGAAGAAGAACACAAAGTAAGTAACACCTGGAAGAAGATCACGGTCAAGAGAAAAGTAGAAAACGTGGAAAGGTAGAGAAAAGGATCAAAGAAAGAAAGAAGAACGTAGAATCGAAGGTACAATCATATACGGTGTCATACACATACATATTGCAAAACTGATGTAAAGAAGTAGACCTGGATGTGACGCGTGTTGATTAAGTATATATATATATATATATACGAGTGCGTTCGATGTGTTTGATTGAAACGTGACGGTGGTGGCTGATTCGAGTCGAGTTAGGGATATACACCGAGTGTCCTCTGTAGGACACTCGATGCAACAGTACGTACGTATGTATGTAGGTAGGGGGGTAATAATACTGTGAGAAATATCGGTGGCAGGCGACAAAGATATAAATTGCCGTTGGTGAAATCGTGAGAGGGTTCGCTACGTAATGGTTCACAAGGTTCCTAGAAACAGTAGAAAAATGTAGTCGACACACGTTCAACGGAGGTGTGTGTACGTGTACGATGCTGCAAGAAATCAAGTACCACACTGCAACTAGAGATGTGAGTTTAATCATTGCGCCGCGACTAAATATGACGCTTTGGCAGGTTCGATCTCGTTACGGTTCCTCGGGGGGGGGGGGGTCTCTCGTTTTCACCGCCGTTTGGTGGAACAGCGCCACGATTTCATTACACACACGTGATACTCGTAATATTATCGGGAAGCTTCGGTGTTTTTTTCGCGAAACCGTCAAAAGCGCGTCGACGTCTCGCAAAAATTCACATCTCTGCGCATAATACAGAGGGGACAGACCAAGTCGAACTTGAACAGGCTAAACCAGGTGGAGGCTCTAAAGTGACGTGGCTACGTGGGCGGGGTATCTCGGTGCTTTACTTTACTTTACGGGGGCGGGATCTAAAAGCTAGATCGGTCGAGGGATGGATCGGTCGGATGCGAGAGGCCGACGCAAAGCTACGTGAGACTCGTTAGACCCGAGGAGAGAAAAGGAACGAGCGATGGAAGGGAGAGGGGAGAGAAGAAAGAAAGAAAACGGAATAGAAGAGAGCAAGGGGTGAAAAAAGGATCGAGGTAAACTTTTGTTAATATGTACACGCTGCAACCTACGTCAGCAGGTATTCCAAGCTGAATATGTAATATACCACGTACGGGAAATTCCTTTGCGAAATGAAGTTTGCAGTTTGCACAAGAATTTCCCGAACGATCGATGAGAGAAAAATCGGCCA